AAAAAAAAAAAAAAAATCCTAGGAGTCGATAAATGTACCAAAAAAAAAAGACGTAATATCCAATACGTAAACAGATACGGGCCATAATTTGCTTTGTTTCCCTTTAGCCTTCTACTTCAGAGAAGCGATTCGGCAAGAAAGAGTGACTAGTGCGCTAGAAAATTTATGCGTCTGAGCTAATATTGTGGTTTGTGGCCTTACGTGACTTTGAGGCTTTGAGGACAAGAAGAAAATGACTCAGACTAGAATTTAGAATTATAAGTACTGCTCAAAACCTATTCAGTCCCACGGAGAGGTACGATAATTACTTGTGCCTTGCTCTTGAACTTTTAAGCACATACTACGTGTACGAAACAATTTAAAAAAAGAAGTATCAATATGATAACAATTGCTCTTGCCAGAAGAGAAAAAAAATGATGCAAGACTGAAAAAAATAGATGCACCACACATTATTGTGCGATATGCTCATTTGAGATAATCGAAGGCGGAAGAATCAGCTAGGAAATACAATTTTGGAGAAAACAGTTCATTCAATGCTTCTAAAATCAATACTTTTCGTTGAAAGCCTCCTCAGCTGAAAACTTTAACCTTCCTCTGATTTTTCATGGCCATGTTACCATTTAACAATCTCTAAATCTAGGCGAAATGGAAGTAAAAACTAAGAAGCTCATTCCGCGCATCACGATTCAAACTTAAGTCTTTAAAAAAATTATTATTACACAGTTGAAATTATATTTAGATATCAATAAAATATAAGCTATGTAGTGAATTTTTGCTCTTCAACAGGAATATCAGCTGTTTTTTCCTTGCTCAGTATCCTTCGTTAAAACGAAAAAGTCGTAGCGGAGGGTATTGTTCATGTTTAAGCACTTCAACTTCCAAAACCTGATTCTTTCTGACTATAAAGGAGGCGACTGAGTCTGTTTTCTTTTTCTTGACTGCCAGCTTTCACTATCAGCATGACTGGAAGACATTTTGTGCTTGTTCTGAGATGTAGCTGAATAGGATCTGCTAACATCCGCATAGGTTCTAACACTTGGCGTGATATGGGTTGTATCATGAAGATGACATCTCTGGGACTCCGAAGGAATGTCTCCGCCAAGACTTACCGCAGTACCTTCACTGAAAATACACTCAGTGTCCTTTTCTGCCTCGACACTTGAAAGATCCGCCATATCGTCATCTGTGTCAGACTGACCAATATCCTCGATAATCTCAAATTCATTGCTAAGACGCACAATTTTGTTGACACTGGCGATGTCTCTGGGATCGATGCCATTACGGATTTCATCTTCAATCCTAGTCTCAATCTCGCTGTGGGTGTCAAGTTCATTCCGGATTTCGGCATCATCTTGAGATTCATAGAGGCTTCTACCGAGTTCTGTGTAGGGATAAAATGCCGTAGGGTTCCTCGAGAACAAGGAATGAAAAACTCCAAAGAGGCTCGGGAGTAACGATCCGTTGAAAATGTCATCAGAAAAGTCCGAAAGTATGGAGGAGTCTGAGTCATAAGGAATATCGATATCATAAAGATTCCCTGTATCATCCGATATATCTGAATCCGTATAATCATCTGGGTTCTCCGTTGTTTCGAAAATGTCTGAAGTTTGGGATACTTCGGATTGACTGGAAACGTCTGACACATTCGAGAGCTCTGAAATATGCGAAGTATCAGAAGCTTCAGATACTTCGTCTGAGGCGTAGGCAGAACCCAAACTTTGAGTGTCTAGTAAGTCCAATGCTCCGGAGAAAACCGACAACTGACGCCTGATTGAGTTCTCGAAAAGTTCAATATCTTCAGAGTCAAGCAATGTCTCCATGAGCTCGTAAAGGCTGATATCTTCATGCAGATAAATGGAGCCAAACAACGTCCCCAGCCTTGGCTGGCTCAACGGAGTGTCATATGGCTCACCACTGTCTAGTGTCTCAAGACTAGAGCTGGTGGAGTTTGGAATGACCAAGAGATTTTCAGGTTCGGCTGGCATCTTCAAGCAAGGCAGTTGCAAAATGTCGTGTCAATAATCAAGGGGAGCAACCAAACGGTTTGTGATAGATAGGAACTCAAATCCTAGAATTTGGGAGAGCTGAATGTGGTGCCCGTAAATCCAGTCGGCTCAGTCGAGGGAGAACCTCATGTTTAGACTGCTGAGAAGCATAATCAAGGCGTTCCGAGCTGAGCAAAGTGGACCAACATACCAAAAAAGTCATGGGACCCGATTTTTTTCTTGGAGGAGTAAGCGAGATAAATTCTGAAAAAGCTTACAAACTCGTGAATCTCGAGCTGCTCAAGCTTCAGTATTTTGAAGTGCAGAAAGCAAGATAGGCATCTAGTGAGCCAGCCGTGCTCGTTTTGAGACTCCCGCGAATCGAAACCCAGTGACGAGATGATTCAGCTACAAGTGCTGCCACTAGCCAGTACAGATGGCTATAGGCGATTTTTTTGAAGAAGAAAAGAATGAAAATCTTCTACACGCGGTGATATTTTCGTCGCCATGAACCGCCCATGTCAATAAATCCTAGCGTCTCTGCATCTCGTATACCTTTTTGTCAGCGAGCTGGTAGGCCACCAGAACGGGAAATAACGCAATAAACGAGAACCCACGACCTTCTTTCACATTAGGAATTCACGGCTGTCATATTCGTGATGCTCTGCACCAATGTCACAAAACATCTCGCACGAAACATCCCTCGCATACAGGCTTGGATGTAGCCATGAAAAAGCAGGGCGTGAGGCCCGAGCAGCGCCGCTTGAGCTTGTGTCGGAAAAAGTCTATGCGATATAAAATCGTGCCACTGGCTTTTTCCGAGAGAAAAGTCGCCTTCTTCCGGGCCGTTTATTCGTCCAGAGCGCATTTACGGGATGCGCAAGTATGCAGTGCGCGAAAGCACCCGAGCTGCGCCCTGCAGTACCCACATATAACGATTGATAGTTGAGTTTGAACCCCTCTTGTGGGGCCGGCAGCACCCGGACGGGCGTGTGGCGTGGTTGGTGGCGCGTCTGCCTTGCAAGCAGAAGGCCGTTCGACTTCGGTCTCGTCCAATCCTTTTGTCTTTCTCCCGCGCGGTGCACAGTGTGTATGAGGGGGCGCGGCAGCAGGGCTCTACGCACGGCATCAGGCGTCTCTCCCGTGCTTCAAGGCGGCGATCTCGCGCTGGAGGTTGCGGATGTAGACCGCGGCCAACTCGATGGTGGTGGCCTTGGAGGGCACGGTGATGCCCTCCTGGAAGGTCTGAGGGATCAAGCGCGACAACTCGTGCACGGCCTGGTTCATGCGCACCCGGCGCCCCTGCTCGGCGATCTTGTGGGAGGTCTTCTTGCCCGGGACGCGGTCGCGCCTCCCCGCCAGCTCGGCCAGCTCGGCCAGCTCGCCGCCCATGGCCTCGAGCACCGGCGAGGTCTCGGACAGCGAGGACCCGGGTGGCGCCGGGGCGGCGGCGGCGGGCCCGGAGGCCTGCAGCGCCGCGAGCCTGTTCATGGTGAAGCCCATGAGCGTGCCCGGCCCCAGCGCGGGCGGCGCGGCGTCGACCGGGGTCTTCTTGCCCTGGGGCGGGCGCATGAGCGGCGGGTCGAAGGGGCGGGGCTCGTAGTGCTCGGGCGGCGGGTCGTAGTGGGTGCGCGGGGCCAGCGTCGGCTTGGCCAGGAGCGTCGGCGTCAGGTGCGGCGTGCGGCGCTTGGCCGGGCGGGCCGGGGCGTAGCCGTCCGCGGCAAACACGGCCAGCGAGCGGCGGCGGGCGGGCTCGGGCCCCGGCGCAGCTGCCTGCAGCTGCGCCTTCAACGCCGGCGACGTCAAGGGCTCGAAGTCCGTGGCCGCGGGCGCGTACGCGAGCTTGTTGGAGTTCACGTGCGCGTCGGCGGGCGTGGCCGCGGGCGACACGAGCGGCGAGAAGCCGTGCACGGCCAGGAGCCGCGAGCGCTGCTGGCGCTGCTTGTGCTGGAAGTGCTCCTGGTTGTACAGGCGGCTGTCCTGGCTGGGCAACACGGGCGACAGGAACAACGCGGCGCCGGCGGCCGCGAGGTGCGGCGTGTTTTCCACGAACGCCAGCGGCGGGTACGCGTGCAGGCCGTGGCCCACGCCGGCGGGCGCCATGAAGTCCAACGCGTCGAGGCTGAAGTCGGGGGCGCCGGGCGGCTGGCCGTAGTAGCCGGGGTCCAAGTGGTCGAGCAAGAACGCGCTGTGGTCGTAGTGGGCGAAGTCGGGCGGCGCGAGCGGGTCCGCGGCGGCGGCGGCGGTGTTTGCGGCCGCGGCCGGTGCGGGCCTGGCCATGGCGGCGGTGTTTGTGGCGTTCCCTGCGGCGCTGGGGCCGGTGTTTCGGCCGCTGTCTGGGGCGGTATATGGGCCGGTGTTCGGCCCGTTGTGGCCCGCCTGGCCGGCGTTGTGGCCGGCGTCCGTGGCGGCGTTCTGCCTGGCGTTCTGCCTGGTGGTTTGCCCCGAGTTTGGAGCCGTGGCGGCGGGGCTGGCGCCCGGCGGGGTGGGCGCTACATGGGCCGGTCTAGCTCGGGCGCCAGGCGGCGTGGCGTGGTCGCGAGACATGGATTCGGGCCGCAGCGGCACGGGCAGCACGGCCCGCGGGTAGCGGTGGCGCGGCGGCGGCGGCGTGGCGGCGGGCGGCGGCGTGGCGGCGGGCGGCGGGTCTTGGAGGGGGCTCAGGGGCGCCATGGCGGCGTGCGCGGACGGGCACAGCGGGTCGGGCAGGAACGCTGGCGGGGCCGGGGAAAAGCGGGCAGGGGCGGCGGCGGGCGGCGGCGCGTGCGGCGACACGAGTTTGGGGGCGCTGGCGGCGGGGCGGGGCGTGTTTGGCCGCGTGTGGTTGGGCGCCAGGAGGAGCCATTGCGAGGACATGGCGCTTGTGAGGAGGAGGAGCGGCGGTCACGTGCCGCGCGGGCTGGGAAAGGCGGGCCGGGCTGGGACGGCGGGTGTTTTTGGAAAAGCGGGGTTTTTGTGAAGGCGGGTGTTTTTGTGAAGGCAGTGTTTTTGGAAAAGCAGTGTTTTTGGAAAAGCAGGTGTTTTTGGAAAAGCAGATGTTCTCGTGGAAAAGCCCGGTGCGGGATAAATAAGTGGGCCTGGGAAATTAGGAGGGCCTGGGAAAAACGAGGGGCCTGGCGCGGGGCGCGGATGGGCTCGAGGATCGGGGCCAGTTGAGGGCCGGCGGCCAGGACGTGGAATCTCGGGCAAAAGTCTGGAGATCCGGGACAGCAGAAAATTCGGAAAGCCGAGGATCCGGAAAGCTGAAGATTCGGGGAAGTCCAAGAATTGGGGAAGTCCAAGATTCGGGAAAGCTGAAGAATCGGGAAAACAGAAGATTCGGCAAGGTCCAAGATTCGGGAAAGCTGAAGATTCGGGGAAGTCCAAGAATCGGGGAAGTCGAGAAAGATTCGGAACCGAAGAAGAAACGAAAGAAAAGAAATCTCGACAGTGTCCAGGAAATCGTAAACCGGATGTTGAACGGATGAAAAAAAAAAAAGAAAAAAGAATTCAGTTCCGAAATAGGAATCGAGAATGGAGAAAATAAAATAATACCAATAAGCCCCGTGGATCCAGGGCCGTGTCGTGGCCGTCCGGCGTGTGGCCCTGGCACGGCTGGGCCTGCGCACTCTGCGCGCTCTCTTGGTTTGGCCCGGCCGCCGCATGTACTGGGCTTATCGAATTTCTTGATACCAACTGTTTTGTTGGGGTGTTTTCTTTAATTGATTGTGTCTTGTTTGATTGTGTCTTGTTTGATTATGTCTTGTTTGTTTCAGTCCTGTTTAGTCCTGTTTAGTCCTGTTCGTTTCTGCTTGATTCTGTCCTGCTTCATTCTGTCCTGCTTAATTCAGTCTTGTTTGATTCCGAAGGCTTCGACTTCGACTCATCTCGGGCTGCTTTCTGATTGGCAGGCTGCTTCAATTTTCTCGGCCCCGCCCCCTCCGCCATGCCCGCCGGCTTTGGCCACACTGCCAGTCGCTTCCAGCTTGCCTCTATGGCGTATTGGCCTGCTATTGTTCGCTGTCCCGGTCCCGAGATCTGACTGCTTAGCGCACCGCACCGTGTCTGCAGGACGCTTGCGACGGCCTCTCAGGATACCCGGCGGAGAAGGTGAAAAGGCCATGAAAATAAACGGAAGGGCGGTCAAGAAAATCAATCCGTGAAGTGGCGCCAACAGCCTGGGACCCACCATAGAAGGTGCCGCAAGTCTGGGCCCGGGCTGGCGGCTGCCCTCCACTGTCGGATGTGGCCCTGGAGGCGTCTCAAATAAGCTGTCACCGTAATTATAGCGCGCTGTGCATGGGCCTGCGCCCCCCGCAGAAGACTCCGGCAAAAGGCCCACCACTGGCCGGGCCCTGCCATGATGAGCGATCGCCTGAATCCCGCGTCTCTGGCTGCAAAGTATTGGGCTTAAAAAAAACAGATACCCGGGCCCTCTAACACGGATTCAGCCGCCCGGGCTTTTTTTTCCTGCTGGTCGTGGCAATTTCTCCCTGCTGGCAGTCGTAATTTCCGGGCCCACGTGGCGCGGCGCTGTGCAGGTGCTCCCGCCAATTTGCTACTTGCCAATCTGGATAAACCCAGGTACGACGTCCTTTTCCGGAAATTATGCTTCCGCGCCCGGGACATGCCTTGTCCAATTAAAACCCTTGGATTGGCGGCTCTGGACCTGCCGTTCCGGATTGGGCCTATCGCCTCGCATCGCCCCAGACCACCAGCTTTGGAGTGATACATTTCAGTGTTTCATGGCCATTTGCGAGCGGCCCTGAGCCTCGGTCGTTTTCAGCAACGGCCCGAATGGCGTCTTGCGCTCGTTTCGGGCAATCGCTTGAAGCTGCATGCGGCTCCGCAGTATGCACGAACTGAGAGACCCGAGCAGATCTCAAGCGGCCCGAACCACCGGAACAGTGGGAGAAACGTGGCTTGCGCATGGCCTGAACAATATGCTCCACTCGTGTGAGCCATGTCTGGTCTGCCGCCGAGTTGCCACAAATCGCGGTCCGAAGACTCAGTAATTCCAGGAGTCATCTTGCGTGCCGTATGCTGCTTTGCCACGGCTCAGGATTGCCGTTCCTCGTTTGACCAGCGACTAACCCGGATATCAAGTTTGGAATCTACCGGACAAAATTCGGCCCTGTAATTCCGGGCTTTGCCCTAGGTCTTACTGAGAGTGGCCCAGCAGCAGAGTGCGGGGACCTGTCTTGGTATTGTAGATGTATGGATGCCTTAGTATTGTAAATGGATGGATGTCTTATTGTAGATGAATGGATGTCTTAGTATTGTAGATGAATGGATGTCTTAGTATTGTAGATAGATGGGATGTCTTGGTATTGTAAATGAATGGGATGTCTTGGTATTGTAAATGAATGGGATGTCTTGGTATTGTAAATGGATTGGATGTCTTATTGTAGATGAATGGATGTCTTAGTATTGTAGATGGATAGATGTCTTAATATTGTTGATGGATGGATGTCTTAGTATTGCGAATGGATGGACTGGCTCAATATTGCAGATGCAGATGGCCTATCCCGCAGAACGCAACAACTACCCAAAATGTCGACGGCTACCCTATAGATATCCAGAGAGACAAAACAGTAAAAACATATCCCTCTGTCCTTTGATTCTCGATCTGGCTTGATTTCGTGACAATGAAAACCCAACTGGTTTATCTGCCCTAATTTGTGCCTATGGAGCCCACATCATTGCCGTAAAGAAATCGCCTTTTGCATGACTGCTGGATGTTTCGAGCCAAATCAGCTCATCGTCTGAACAAGGTAAAGAAATTCGCCTAAAACAGAAGCTTTGCCGAAAGTTTCGGAATCTCCAAAAACGAATATGTACACATCAACATCTTTTTGTCCAAACGTAAGTTGCACTCTTGTCTGACCATGACACAAGACATAGATAGTTCTCAGCCAGTCAGTATGTTTTTGATTATCAGCAATAAGACTAAAATAGTGTCTTTTTGCAGTTCTGTGCGACACATCCAATGTTCAGAACCTCGAACCTCCAGAAGCTCGAAATTCCAAAGCTTCAAATCTTCAGAGTCTTAAATTATCACCCGCCTAAACACCATATTATACATCAAGCAACCGCATTGAGAGTAAAGAGTAAAGTAAGCTGTTTGGCAGCTCTCCAGAATGTCCTCTGACTTTGGTTCTCCTATTGAGCACGTGCACAGAATTCAAAGAAAGCCTTGAAGCCTTCCACACCCAGTGTTTCAGGAAATTTTCTTCGGGCGCCACAAAAATGTAATGAAAGAATCAGACAAGCAAAAACAATTTCCAATTTACATGACTTCGTACCATAAGCTCACTTTGATGGCCGGTAACATGTTGACTTGGATATTACTACGAAAGATAACTGAACAAATGAAGACCAATCTAGACTCTACTTTGATGGCTTTTGAAAGCTCCTAATCTACCAAAAGACGACTTTTTTCATCTCTCTATTTACCTCAAAAATAAGCAAATGCACCAAAAAAGCTCCAAGAAACAAATAAATTCGATAATTTCGAGGGTAGGCCCCGAAATACCGGAGAATGAAAGTTGAAGTGACCGGTAGCTTCCGCGCGCTTGCCTTCAGACACGTTAGAGTGACTATGAACTCAGGCTTCTCAGTTAGAGATTTGTTATGGACATCTAGCCCCTCCGAAAAAGAAGCCCCTACATTCTATACGACATTTGAAAAACAGAAAGCTGGGAATACATCAGAGCTACATTCTGGGCCTAGACCCCGAACGATAAGCCAATATATGCTGTCCTTCCCAGTGGTGTGTCTTTTGATCTGCCAAGCCCATGTCAAATTATATCATTAGGGCTGAAACAAATAAAAAAAAACTGCGTGAAATACATTGAATCAAGGCGCCAAGGATCAACTCTCGCCGCTTCCCTTCATATTATTATGGACTATGTTCACAACTCGCAATCCGCGCCTCTTTCGCAGCCGAAAACTGGAGCACGTCTATCACGTGACCATACCCCATCAAAGCTCAGAGACGTTTCGTTGCATCCTGAGACCCTATATTTGCTTGTCTCTGATACTGCAGTGGCACCAGCACAAAGAATCTGAAAGTTGTTTTTTGAAATTGGTCATACTGCGCACTCCCGAAACATCGAGCCAATAAATCCAATCCAATCAGAGTGACTGAACCCAAAACATTGCACACTAAGATCAGATCCGTAGCTATATTCAAGGCATCTAGTTTGACCCGCACCCTCAAGTTCAATGTTTTCCAAAAAAGACCTCGGCTCGAGAAAGAAGACCTTTCCAGGTCTGCCGCTATCGATTTTCGAAAACTCCCGCAAGCCCCAGAGAAAGGCAAAGAAAAACAGGGCTAACGTGCCCTATATCCACGAAGATCCAGAGGCAGATGTATTCATTAACGTAAAGAAATTCAAGCCTTCCAAACCCGCCGCAGACCAAAGTGAGTTTGAACATCTTGACAAGTTGCTACTGGTGCTGGACCATGAAACAATTGCAGAGGCCATTACCGAGCTGAAGACAGACGCATTTCCTGAGAACATCTCCGGGCTTTCAAACGAATCCAAGTTTCTGCCGCCTTCCTTGAAGGACAGCACTTCACTTGCAAGCTTGATACTAGGGCAAGATGCTAGTCTGGCACAGGCCGACGCTACGCGGGAAAAGTACAAAAACCAGGACTTCCCGTTGCCAAAATCCAAGCGGGATCTCAAGCATAGAACCAAGCGATTGCTTGGCATCGTGCCAAGGCTTCTTGCGGGCGAGGAGGACTTGTCGATATTCTATACGTTTGCCCACAACCAGAGCCGGAACCTGCCGCACGTGACAATGTCGCCTGCAGAGTCGTTCGACTTGCCGTGGCTTCAGTACACTGCCGGGTTCTACGGGCTCCGCAGACAGAACTTTGTATCCCAGCTAATCGAGGCGGAGCATGGCGAACTATTGCGGAAATCCAGGAACAAAACCGTGGTCTACTGGTCTCCAGACATGTTCTGCACCTATGTGTTGGCACCTGAGATTATTCTCAGACTTGTGATGGAGGACATGGCTTTGTCCAGGGATGAGGCGGAGTCTCTTTTGCGGCAGACTGCAGACTTCGGGAGTCACGTGGCAGACGGCGTGGAGTTGGTTGATGATCTAGATTTCGATGAGCTTGAGATCTTGACAAGAGGGATCAGTGAACCGAAGAAATCAGGGCCCCACGAGACATAGCTCAGGCCGATTTCTGGGTGAGTTTGAATTGAGGTGCCCGTTTGACTCTGCAAGGAAGAAAGACAGAGTCAGCAGTATCCTCACAATCTCAAAAATATACAAAGAATAACCAGGGACATGTGTTCTGCCTACCTGGCCTCGAACACGTGAAGACGGTCTATTGGGACAGTGCACATGCTGAGAATTCAGGTGACGAACATTGGTGTTGGCTCTTTCCTTTGCTGTCGAAAAAGAAAAATACCTACAACTTTTGAGTATTTCCTGGTGACGCCCACTGCAGACAGAACACTTCACTTACGTTTCGGCCCCATGTCCTCTGCTATCTGGCTAAAGGCTCCATCCAATAAAGCCATGCAAGCTATGTGCAGGCAACGCCGTCATGGTACAATGTCTGCGTAAAAAGAGCCATGGCATCAACGAAAGATCACAAAAATGGCCCCATTTGCGCTGCTTGGCTCTATACCGGCTCTGGGCGACAGAATATCGTGCTGTTGTTTTCCAATAGTTGGCCCAGCTGGAGGGCGTGCCGAGGCCGAATATCTCGTCGCGTCACGTGCTCTGGTACCATGGAGTCGACTCACGTTTGAACAGTCCAGCTCATTTCAACAAACCAGGGCCCAGGAACCTCTCTTCAAATTTCGAAAAAGCCGCTGCTGTCCCGACTTCTTGAAGCTGCTGAAAATCTCGTGTTGCCCAAAAGATCCACTTTCGTGTCCTTTCCTGGCCTCATACATCATAGCCAGATCCAGATCATCAGGTCCCTCCAGGTGCCCAGGAAGCCAATCCGTACGGCCCGTTGCTCCTGATTTCGTGTTACTAGCACCTCATTACTTCTTGGAGAACCCCGGCAAAAGTGCTTTCGCCAGTCTTTGCCTCGAAAAAGGCGTTCCAGCCCCTTCTCCGCATCGCAGCACCAAGACTCCGGCACATGTCTGATAAAGTGCACATCTCTGGCCTCGAAGGTAAGGCCATTGTTGGGCTCGACCACTGGCAGAAACCCGTGCCGCACCCCGTATTCGTCGATGTTGATTTCGCCACGGATTTCTCGCGGGCCTCGGAAACAGACAACCTCCACTACTCGCTCAACTATGCGGTGATTTCCAGCAAGATCGCGACGTTTCTCGAACACAACCAGCAGCGCAACTTCCAGTCGTTGGGAGGGTTGGGCTCTGCCATTTTGGGCGACGTTTTGGCTGTGGAAAAAGCCGTTTCAAGCTCCATTCAACTCAAGATCTCCGCACCCAAGGTGGACATCCGGGCGCCTGTGTCGTTCTCTACATCGACGCAAATGCAGGCCCTCTACCAAATCCAGGGGCTCCGTGCCTTGACGCTCATAGGCGTGTTTACTTTCGAGCGCTTGAACAAACAGTACGTGTTGCTTGACATTGATTTGAATGTGAGCGAGCCGCACTTGAATGTGGCCCGGGTCTCCGAGTCCGTCAGCGCATATCTTGAGAGTGCCAATTTCAAGACCGTGGAAGCGCTTGTGGCGCTGTCGTGCCAGTGGATCTTCCAGAACTTCCCGACCGTGAACACTGCCGGAGTTCGTGTGACAAAGCCAAACGCCATTGTATATACCCAGGGCGTCGGCGTCTCGTGTTTCTATGCACGCGCCGATTTTGAGAACAAGCCGGTTCTTAGCTTGCCGGAAACGGGCCGCAATGGGAGCTCAGAGAACCTCGTGCAAACGCGCGACAGTGCTCCGGCATCGCCAGCCAAAGAGCAGCCGCCTGCGTTCGATTTGCCCGTCGAAACAACGTGTGACTACTCAGGCAAGCATAATGTGTACATTGCCTTCGGCTCCAACGAGGGCGACCAGATCGAGAACATCTCCACGGCGTTACGCTTGCTCAATAACCACCCGCAAATCTCGGTCAAGGGCTCGTCATCTCTTTACGTGTCCAAACCCATGTACTACACCGACCAGCCGGATTTCTACAACGGGGCTGCTCTCTTGCAAATGCAAGACTTGAGCCCCCATGACCTCTTGCACGTGCTCAAAGATATCGAGTACAAGGACCTCGGCAGGGTCAAGGACTTTGACAACTGCCCGCGCTCCATAGACTTGGACATCGTGCTTTTCGACCGCATGACCGTGACCTCGCCCGATCTCGTGGTGCCACACAAGGCCATGCTCGACCGCACGTTTGTGCTCCAGCCGCTTTGTGAGCTTCTTCCGCCTGATTTCACTCATCCGGTGACGGCAGAGCCCATCCACAACCACCTAGCAAAATCGCTAGCTGCACTCTCGGACCCAGAGGTGCAGGAGCTGCCAAAACTCGTGCTGGTGACCCCTGGGACCGGTGGCAGAAGGCTCAAGTTCAACCACGACGGGACTTCTCCATCTGCATTGATGGCCATTTTCAATGTCACGCCGGACCTGTTCAGCGATGGCGGTGCCAGGCTTCGGTTGACAAAAGACGAAATCGTAGCCGAGGCCTTACGGATGAAGGAAAACGGGGCGCAAATCATCGACGTGGGTGGGGTGTCAACACGCCCCGGGAGTTCCGAGCCACCGTTGGAAGAAGAGCTCTCTCGGGTTTTGCCGGTCGTGGAGGCGATCAGAAGCGAGCCCCGCTTGGACGATGTGTTGGTTTCTGTCGACACGTATCGCGCCGGGGTTGCCGAGAAGGTGCTCGATGCCGGGGCCGATATAATCAATGACATCTCCATGGGACTTTATGACAGCGAAATCTTCAAAGTGGTGGCGAATCATGGCTGTGGATACGTGATGAATCACACGCGTGGCACGCCCGCAACCATGAGTAAATTGACCACTTATGGCCCTGCTGACCCCACGTTTGTGGAATACAACATCGACGAAAGCATGGGGATGATGCCCTTGCTAGAGTCTTCCACACGGAATTTGCTTAACGGGGTGTGCCGTGAATTGGCGGACCAGTTGAAAGTGGCCACTGAGAATGGCGTGCGCAAATGGCAGGTCATCATCGATCCAGGAATAGGTTTTGCAAAGGACCTTGGCCAGAATTTGCACATTATTCGCCACGGCCGAAGATTCAAGAAATACGCACAGGTCGACTTGAGCTCGGAATCGTATACCAGTTTCCACGGAATGGCCGTTTTGATGGGGACCAGCAGAAAAAGGTTCTTGGGCACCCTCACCGGCCAAGACGAGGCAAAGCTTCGCGTCATTTCAAGTGCCGCATCTGTAGTGGCATGCGTGGAGCAGGGGGCAGATATTGTTAGGGTTCATGATGTGAAGGAAGTCAAGGAGGCGCTCCAGGTGGCCGACGCAATTTACAAAAGCGCCTTTTGAGAGAACCACATGTTGAATATCCAAGGCCTGAGGTACAAAGGGATGCTCCAGAAATTACAAGACAAAAATCATAGTACAGACTGGTGACCCGTTGAAAAAAGCAAGGGGTTGTATGTGATCTTCTTTGCAGAATCTCCTTTTGGAGCCCTAAAAAGTCCCGAGACAAGAGCACGTGGTAATTGGAAACTACTAGCGGACATCCAATCTACATGGGATCAATTTACCGAAAAACAGTCGATGGTTAAGATGCACTTCTTTTGAAAAATATGTCTCGGTATGAAAATCCAATTCTCGAGCCTACAAACAGGGTCTAAGGTATTCAAGTGCTCAGGATGACCATTCTGTTCAAAATTTCGCCCACCCTTGCGCTTCAAATTTTGACGTAGAGGACCAAATCAGCTCTCTCAGATCGCGACAGTGTAAAGACGGTTCTCGAGCCTCTTTGATATTCTTCATGACACGGCTTCAAAAATCTCGACGTTTTTTCCCTAAATGTTGAAGCTAAGTTACACTCCCCATTGTATTCTTTTCGAATTTGTACACCGATCCTCAAAGACTCCAGTGATATGAGTCAGAATCGAAGGTAGAGTTCTTTCGAATGTTCCACATGATTTGCTGCAGTATACAATCATTGTAGGACCCGAAAAGGAAACTTTTGACTTTTAGATGATACTTCCGCAATCTGTAACGTTGCTCCTGAAAATTCTACCCCATGCTGACAAATTAAGCTTTTCCTGCTTGATTTAGCCTTGTAAAAACAGAACAGGCCGCAACTTCTCAAACCTTCCTAAGTGGGCCACATTATAGAACGTGCAAGGCATCAAAGGGGGCTTGGAATGTGTAGAAAATTACTCGAAGAACATTTTTTGATTTTGAGTCTCGAAGAATGCCCCTAATGAGGCCTCTTGTTTGCGTTAGATGCAAGAAAGTTAAAAATAACTGTTGTTTTTGAGCGCACTAACTTCCATGGGTCACGGAGAGATCACAGAAGTTCGACCACATGCGATTTTTATTGTCTCTGCTCCTGTTGCATTTTTTTGCTACTTGTCTCATTGACGAGCAAGACAGATGTTTTGCCGCCAATCAAAGATTAACATGCGCTTACTTAGCAAGTGAGTCGCTTGGAGATCTTGGCTAGTCCCTAAACTTTTTCCTTCAATCGATTTAATTTATTTTTCTTGATTCTCGCTGTACATAGCCTCTGTACAGTTACAATTTATATTGATAAAATCTATACTGAGTATGGTATAAGGAACGAATCGTCTAATTTGTTAGTCGCCCATATGCAAAAAAAGACTGACGCACAGAAGTCACCGAGACGTGCGCAACAATAGAATCTCAGATCACCGCGTCAGCATCAATCACGGTCATCAACATCTTGATTGCCCCTTTCTGTATTCATCCTTGTGACGGTAACACGTGTCTGATAAAAATAAAACAACAATGTTCCATCAATCTTAATGTATCACCACGCGATCATAACCAGAACATATGCTGATTTCTTTTGAAATAGAGGACTAATACCTATAAAAGAGAAGTATATTTCCTCAGTAGTTGAGATTAAAATTAAGTAACTAAACAGCAAACACTCGAAATAAAATGAAGCTTCTCGCCACATTGCCTCTTCTCTCCTTGGTCCTCGCCTTACCAGGCCCAAGCTTGCCCCTCAGCGGATTTTTATCGATTAAAAAGTCAGGAGATCCGGCACAGGTTGGTACTGGGTATATTTCAATTAATGATGATAAAGTCGTCAAGAGCGACACATCTTACAAGTTTGATTCAGAGAAAGGACTCGTATTTTTGTATCGTCTTGGAAGAGGTCCTAATAAACTCTTCATGGGGCTCGACGAACAGAAGAAGCTCGCTTTGACTGAGCAGGAACCTGTTGTCCATATCATCACCAAAGATGCACACGAGCATGTTTTGAGTGTGGGCGGCAACTTCAAGTTCGAGCTCTGCGACGACGGCCTGATCGGCCAAAATAGTGGTTGCACCTTTCGTGAGGACATCGAGATTAAATGGACCCCTTATTTGAGTCGCTAAATATTGTTGGGCCTTTTTATGTAAAGATTTACAACTAATCAATTTGTTCCAAATATCGCTAAAATGTAATTGTATGATAGAACATCCTCCGTGAACTTTGCAAAACATTAGAGCTCTGTATTTTGCTACGAGAAAAAAGTTCAGATACCTATACTATCTGAGACTTTAAACCAAGAATCAAGCAGAAAGTCTTTCACTTTTCGCGAGATTGACAACTTTGGCAGCTTCAAAAAGATATATGCAATATCCAGCCTCCCTACGTTTGCAGCATGAATGCCCTTCCAGCACTAGATCATGAATCTGCATGAAATACAACCATTGCTCCAGTAGCGTGCTTGGAATCGTCAAGCATGCCGGAGTGATTCAAAGACTCACTCAGGGTGAGTCAAGTCGAGTGCTGGTTAACCTCATTAAATGTTAGATTAGTTATGAAAGCTCCGTAGAAAATGCAACCAATTTACAGCATCGAGCAAATACTTGACATGGTCAGTAGGAGGGTCAGTCGAGAAATCAACCACCGAAAACAACGGTGCTTCTTCAACATGACCGAGAGCTTTTAATCAGCAGAGCCGGGGAGCCATAGAAAGCTGGCGCAAGTTCTCAAACGCATAGCGACACCAGTACCTGCTTACGCCAGCGAGTAGGTAGAACCTCATTCAGAATCGAGAGCAAAGTTCACACGGATGTTTCAGATCTTCCAAAAGGAACATCTCTATTGTTCTGGATCTACGGTCACCGCTATGCAAACACTAGTACAGACGCGTTGAGCGGCATAAGATACCCAAACTTCTTCGGAGTTTTTGAGTAGACCATTCACGCTTGGGGTACGATGCGAGAGTTTCCAGTGCATTTTCCACGTCAGTGCACTGGATGTATGATCGTGGTTTCAGCCAGAGTCTAGCCGAATCTAATCAAAGTATGACTCACAAAGCCCATCTTCTCGGAGGCCGTCCCAACATGGTGGCCAACCAGGTCCCCACATGGCGGCCCTGGGCGGCTACGAGGCGCAACGCCGGGCGAAAAAGCATCAAAGTGAGTGCCCACAGAAACCCTTCCAAAAGCGGCCGAAGCATAATGTCTTTGATCACTGCATACACCACAATGCCTGGGGTGATCACGCCGACAGGATTCAAATGTCCAGGTTCGTTTGAATTGTTGCTTTGATCGTTGGAGAGGGCCAATTCGGAGTCTGCTAAGGGCCCACTTTGCTTGCCAACTGAGGCGTCTGCATATCGCTGGAGTGACCGGAGAAAAGAGTTTTCAAACAGCAAATCCGGAACCACGATTTTTTTGTCGAAGGTGTTCATATTAAGTTTCGGTCGGACTTGATATGGCAAGTAGGGCGCCAGACGTGATTTCGATAAGTGATGTGCGGAGGCCGTTGACATGTAATTTCTGGCGCGCGGTTTTAAAATGAGGGCAAAGTAGTCGCCCTTAGCTATCATCACTCGAAGGTCTCCTGTAGTGTTTTTTGCCCGTATGTATGAAGACCCTAGCATATAGTTTGTGATTCTCTTGTGTCTTCTTTCTTTCTTTCTTTCTTTCTTTCTCTCTTTCTTTCTTTCTTTCTCCCTTTCTTTCTCTCTTTCTTTCTCTCTTTCTTTCTTTCTTTCTCCCTTTCTTTCTTTCTTTCTCCCTTTCTTTCTTTCTCTCTTTTTTTTTTCTGGCTCTTTCTGGTATGCGAGAAGCTTGGCCTTTGTAATATAATTTATCAATTGACGCTTTTCCGTAAAAAAAGCGGCATGGTTTGAACACCATTTCATTATCTCCAAAATGTACCACTGTGGATTCCCGGATAAGCACTTTGGTCACAATGGGCCCCAGGATACGAATTTAGTTTATTTTGTGGCCACAATGACAAACGCCTCCCATTCCCCAGAAATCATGTTGCACGCTCAAATTGGGCAGTAAATAACAACAGTCCAAAGGGCTGCAAAATAAAACGCGACAGAGCCCGGTCTAAACTTTGCGAACTTTCATATAAATAGCGAGTCCCCGTGCCGCAGCCAAAAGCCAAATTTCCCCACACATGTAGAACAAAATTTGCCCACGTGATGGGTTCTTGAATTCTGCCTTTCTTCTATTTAAGGGTGTTCGCCCCAAGCCGGGAATCTACCGCTAGGCATCAGACTTTTGTCCTGCCCATGGAAATGATGCATGCAGCAAAAACATAACATTTGAAGTATTCATATGATAATTACTGGCTAGCCCTAGCTAGAACCTCAAACTCTCGGAAGCGCTTTTGCTCAGGTCCAAAACTCCGAGTGCTGCAAATTCAGCCCACCGCTAGCCGCCGCCTTTGGCCCGCCTGCCCTGTGGCAAGACCCGTGCACCACGATGCTCGCGAGTGGAAAACGAGCACTGCCATGGGTGGACCAGACCGCTAACACGTAACACTCTCGTAAAACACACTTTACGCCCAGAATGGAGATCGACGCTTCCGAGGCCGGGCCCAGGGTCACCATAAGACAAACAGAGCGCGACCGCGTGGATTTCATCTTGCGAGGCGTGGACCTCTCGCTAGCCAACTCGCTCCGCAGAACGATGCTCGCCGAGGTGCCCACGATCGCTATAGACTTGGTCGAGATCGACGTCAACACCTCCGTGCTTGCGGACGAGTTGCTTTCGCACCGGTTGGGATTGGTGCCGTTGTGCAGCGAGGGCATCGAGAACTTGCTGTACTCGCGTGACTGCACGTGTGACCAGTACTGTCCGAACTGCTCCGTGAAACTAGAGCTCACGGCCAAGTGTGACTCCGACAGCACGATGAACGTCTACGCGTCGGACTTGGCCAAGTTCCACAACGGGTCCAGGCTTGGCGACCCTGTTGCGCGGGACGCGCAGCAGCGCGGCCCCTTGCTTTGCAAATTGCGCAAGCACCAGGAGCTCCGTCTCACGTGTATTGCCAAGAAGGGCATTGCCAAGGAGCATGCGAAGTGGTCGCCTTGCTCTGCGATCGGCTTTGAGTACGACCCCTGGAACAAGTTGAAACACACCGACTACTGGCACGAGGTGGACGCGGAGGCGGAGTGGCCCAGGTCGGCCAACTGCGAGTGGGAGGAGGCGCCTGACCCAGAGGCGCCCTTTGATTACAGCGCCAAGCCAGGAAACTTCTACATGGACGTGGAGACCGTGGGCAACTTGCCGCCCAACGAGGTAGTGGTGCGCGGAATAGAGACTTTGCAGTTGAAGCTCGCAGGCATTGCGGTGGAGCTCAACAAGGACTCCGTCGAGGCCAACAGCACTGCAGCAGGCGGCTTCACAACGTACGGCCGCTCTCCGGGGGGCGCGGACGGCGACTCGCCTGCGAACGGGTACGCTTACGGCGAAGGTTTCGGGAACTCTGCGTGGTGAGATGTAATATTAACTGTACGATAGACCAAGAAAAAAACACACGCACGCACCCCCATGGTTTGTGGACCGTAGAGCAAGCCTTTGCTCCAAGGTTTGCGAGTCACTGGAGAAGAAAGCTTGTCGGCATTTCTTTGCAGAGCCGTGGCGTGGTGTCGTCCATTCGGACCAGGAAGGGGCCCGGTCCTGGGTGTCTGGCCTTGGCGCCGCAGGTCTGTCGGCAACACCGGAAGAGCACACCTGTTGTTCTGTGTGCACACGTGTTACGTTCTGCCCCAGCGCACCACGTCCTCGAACTTGACCAAGTCGCCGCCAAAGATATCGAGCGCACTGCCAAAAGTCAAGTCCACCTTGCCGGCGCTGAGCCTGTCCACCAAGGCCAAGTCTGACACCAGCTTGGCGCCGCCCGCATACACGATTTTGCCGGCGAACCCCGGGGGACACCACCTGCCCAAGCTGGCCACGAGGTCCTCGTCAATGCCCTTGCAAAGACCCTCCACGTCGGCCGCATGGATGAGGAACTCGTCACAATAGTCGGCCACGGCCGCCAAGAAGTCCGGCCCGAGCTCGCTGTCCGTGAGCGTCTGCCACTTGTTGATGGAAACGACCCATTTTTTTTGCTGGGCACCCGCGACTTCTCGACAGCTCAAGTCTACAATCAAGCGTGTTTTGCCGACACGCTCCGAAAGCCGCGCGAGCTTTTGCCAGTCGAGCACAGTCTGGCCCGCGGCAGTTTTGGAAAAGAGCCAGCTGGTCACAATCACGTGGGACGCGTGGTACGTGTCGAGCCACGTGAGCGCATTGTCGTCGGTGATGCCGCCCCCGACTTGCAAATGGCCGGGCCACGTGGCACAGGCGAGCCGTGCCGCCTCGTCGTTGGCCGGGTTGGAGCCGAGCTTGATCACGTGGCAGCCTTCCACGCCACGCGCCTGGTAGAGCCGGGCGTAGTGCGAAGAGGGCTTGGTGGAGACGAAGTTTTCTTTGGTGTCGGCCGAATGGTGCGTGTCGTCGGCCGTGAGCGAGCCGCCGACGATCTGCTTGACCTGGCCCGCGTGGATGTCGATGCAGCCTCTGAACCTCGTCATGCTGTGTGATTGTGATTGTGAGTGTGTTGGGTGTTGTGTGTTTTGGGTGGTTTGTGTGTTTTAAAAGTTTTGGGTGTTCTGGATAATGGGCCAAAACCTGCGCGGGCTTTTTAGGGCCTGTTTCGCGAACGAAATGTCGGCCTGGGTCCGCGGCCTGCCCCGAACAACAGGTCCACTTTGGCGCACACAGGCCCCGTGTTTTCCAGCGCCAGGCATCAGTTGCGTTTTTTTTTCTGGCTGCCTAAACATATCCGGTGCTCGAAAATGTCCTGTGAAAACATGGGACTGCCACAGCCGCCCGAAAGGCAGACGCCGTGGCCCCTGTGTTCTGCCCTGGACAGCTGCTCGGCGCCGCACTGGGCACCTGGCCCTAGAGCGCGGGCGCGCGTGGCCCCAAAAAACAGAGACGGGCGCATCGGCCCGCGCTCATCGGGCGCATCGGCTCATCGGGGCCTGGCAATCTGCAACAAAGCTTTGGATTCTGCTTGGAAAGACGCCCCAAAACAAGAGACAAACAACAAAACAAAACAACAAAACAAAGCAAACAACACGCAACAAACAGCCAGCCCAAATCCCAAGATGTCCGACGATTACGCCCGAGCATTGGAAATCCAGCGGCGCAATTTCGAGGCCCAGTTCGGCTCGCTCGAGTCGATGGGCTTCCTGGATAAAACGGTGCAGCCTGAGGACAGCAGCAGCGAGAGCGAACATTCGGCAAGTGGAAGCGGCGGCTCCAGCAGCGGCGACGAGGACAAGTTTGGCGGCTTCGACAGCGCATCTGAGGAAGACTCCAGCGACCTGCCCGGGCCCACATCCCAGCGCGGCAAGCTCTCGGTGACGCCCAAAATCGGCAGCGTTGCCAAGCCCAAGGTGGTGCTGCTCACGGAGCAGTTCACGCCGCTGGCACCGCCCAAAAAAGACCGCAGGTTGGCCCGCTCGGGCCGCGTGCCCACCATCCGCGAGCAGGAGGAGAAACAAAGGCAGTTGAGCAAGCTCACGAAGAAGCAGCAGCAGCAGGCGGCCAAGGAGGACCTGGAGAATTTGGAAAACGACCTCAAGCTCCAGCGTCTCTTGAGCGAGTCCCATATTTTGGCGCACAACGTGGAGCATTCGGGGGCCGACTTGACGCTCCAGACCATCGACTATGAGGCGCCCGTGGGAAACGCCAGACGCCGGATCTTGGATCAGCGGATCCGCGAGGCTGCGGCCGTCAACTCTGCCACGCGAGGCCTCCCCAAGAAATTGGAGAAGATGCCCATGGGCATGCGCAAAGGCATGATCCGGGCCCGCGATAACCGAGTGGCTGACTACGAGCGAGAGGCCAAGGAGGCGGGCATCATTTTGTCGCGTGTCAAGAAGGGCGAGGTGCGGAACTTGGACCAGGGCCGGGGCGCCACCTTGGTCAGTGACCGGCTCGGCGTGGGCAAAAAGGAGGGCAGGCGCATCCGAGACCGGGGGCTCCGCATCAACAGTGTGGGCAAGTCCACCCGGAACGGGCTCCGGATCTCGCAGCTGGAGATCGACCGGGTCAACAACATGGGTAACCGGCGGAGAAAGTGAGCGGTCGCAGGCGAGTATTCAGCTCAGCGGAGTGTTGGCGGGACGTGGCTCCGGCCTGCTCTTCGATGGTGCTGTCAAGTACGTACCGAGAGGGGGCCTTGGAAAAATGCTCGTGTTGGAAAGAGTGGAGTGTGGAAGACGTCGCTTTTGGCCGCGCGTGTTTTCCGGTGGTTGCAAAAGTGGTTGCAAAATCCGTTGGCTGCAGCTGTGAAGGGCCTAGGGTTGTGTGGTGGAGGCCCTAGATCTTTATGGGGGCACACGCCGCCATTCATGAGCAGGCCAGGACCGGGAAGATGGAATGAGAGTTTATGTGAAGGCACCGGCAGTGGAAATTCGTATCTGGAGGTGCTAACCGGGTGGTCGCGATGAACCTTTAATTGCCCAGCTTGGCGCAGGGTTTCTGTTCAAATGTCAGGTCCGAGAGGCACGAGGAACAAGCGAGCAGATGTATGCCAGGGCTTGGCCTTCGACGGTTCGGGAAGAGCCAGCACCCAAGCGCACGGGGAACGCACCAGCTGTCTACAACACAGGCAGCACGTGCCATAAGTGGCAGAAACAACGCAACACGATAACTACGACTTTCTGAGAAATACAAGTCTTTTCGTGAAGTGGAGTGGTGGAATTGTTTTGAGCCGACGAGTGATACGCAGTCAATAGAATGCGACAATATCCGACCATGTCCCCATCCGACCATGTCCCCATCCGACCATGTTCCTACCCGTAGCCACCCACTCGTACAGCTAACAAGTGCATATAAAAGGAAGGCCTGCTTTGCCGGAGGGTGCCCAGTCACGCCAATCTGAAGCAGCCGGCCACTGCACCAGGATCCAATTATTAGTTGGCCCTGTTGAGCACTGTGCCGGGGATGCAACCCGTGATTTTCGCCAGGCACTTTTGTTTGGCTTTCGCCGTCGTGTTTTTGCCGGGCGTCCGCCAGAGACATCTGGGCTGCGGCAGTTGGAGTATGATGGATGAATTCTGGAAACATGTCTTCATGGTTCGGAATCTCTTCGATACTTCTATCTCAGCCAATACTTCGCTTGAAGGATGTTTGGTCTCAAGTGGGGGAAAACTACATAAAGCCTGAGAAATGAGTGGTTACTCATTTTGCATGAACTTGATCATAGGTGCTTTGTTCACACAACTCGTGTTCTGCTGTCTGATGCTCAGTCCAACGGAAAATTTCTGATTTTTAAAGAGTCTCTATATCATGGCTCCCAGACGGTTGGGGAGAATCTTCCTAAGGAAAAGGTGTCTTATTCTGGTGGCTTGTTAGTAAACAATAGTTACCTGGAAAATATCACAGAACTCGAAGATGCTCCAAAAAGATTACACACTCTTTCGAAAGGTGAAAGCCACAGTAAACTTTTTAATTCGCAAGATATGACATCTTACAATCAGGATCTGTAGACGCTTCTATCCATGGGATTCATGTTCTCATCTGATGTTTGAATCAAGTGCTATATCCCGGAGTCAACAAAGAAGACGGTAAAGTCACTCCGCTGGTTCCGAAACCTCCTCAAATAGCCACTGATGCAATTGACCGAACTAAACTTCAGGACGAACTCTTGGCTTACTGATGCTTAATTGCGATTCAATCGGTCTTTCTACTGCTTTCTGCGTATGGAGCCGAGCTTGAAGGCAGGTAACTTGTGATAGAAGAAACTTCCACGTTTTCTTAAAGGACGAGCTGAAAGAAATTTCAAGCCCTCTATCATAGATTCGGGTATATACTTGGCAAGCCGTTCAACCTTCAAAGTGGGTGACGCTCCCAATGGAATCAAACATTTTAAAAGTCTGATTTTTCTTTCAAAGAAAAGCTACCAACTTTCAACCTTCATCACTATAAATTTGATGTTCCAAAGTATGATGATCTTGTATCTCATCTGGGGAGGGGCGGGGTTGAAGACACGCGTGAATCACATGGTTTTTTTGTTGATAGTGACTTGGTTCTTTTCATAAATGGCGTGACCCCGACAACAGCCACTGGTGAGATCACTCATTCAACAGATAGTGATGATGGTTTGGGCATTGATGTCGATAAATTGATGAATTTAGAATAGTTTAAAACTCTCGCTTTATTAAATGATTATGAGAGTACGGAGGGTATCTCTACTAAAAGAAAACACTGCATGTTTTAACTTGTCTCTGGTCATTATTACTTAGATTCTCGTCTTCATTCGCTGAATTATGTTGCACATTTTGCTTCGATGGACAAACTAATCGATTTGATCTTGTTTGGCTCCAAGTACTTAGATGAGAGCCACTGATCTCACCGAGTACAGGTTTGTCTATATGTTGAATTATGGCTCTGTAACAGGAAAGAGCTACTTGAGAAACTTTTTCAGGGATTCATTTATACTGGAATACTGTCATATCCCTCATGAAAAGACTGTTCATGCAAAGCAGGGAACTAGGAACCCAGTCTCTTTGGTCGTTTTCCAATTGAAATTCAGATAATAGTGTTGACTTTAAGTGAGGTAAACTATAAGCTTTTTCTTAAGATACATGCAAACACACTCAATGTTCTTTTCTTTCCACTAAGCCATCTTTTCGAGTGCTTCTAGAATGGTTTGCACACCAAACCCATCATGATATAGATTCTTGAATTGTGCAGTAACGAGATCGCACAATGTAAAACTCGAACAAGATTGATGATACATTGAATTAAATTTACGAGAATCTTGACGGAATTAACAAGAGACTAGACAGCAATATTACCAAAAAGACTTACATGCCACTGAAAATAATAGAAGGGCCATTCTATGACGGGCGGGTGTTCTGCAGGTACGTATCCACTGATCTATCCAGGACAGAAACCCGGAAGATAAGGGGGTGATACCGTCGAAGCCAAGATGAGCAATCTGTTCCGTGGTTTTGCAATTTGGGCCGAGGGACTGCAACACGTGGACAAACACCATATATATGGGCATATGAGCCGATGGGAAGATGGGCATATCAGTGCCAGATGCTTTCCCGATATCTGCTGCCATCGTCAAGATAGGAAAATAAGCGGATGCAAATGGCGGCAAAATACGTGAGGCAGAGCCGCTCGCCCCTTTTTGGCAGTGGCCTACCGGAGTTGAAAGCACTCCAGATTTTATCCCAAGCACCATAGAAGCATCATTAGAAGCACGTTAGAAGCTCACCAGAAGCCCGCCAAAAGCACCGGTTATATAAGCTTCAGAAATATAGTATTTGATTCAATTTTCAATTTTTTGGTACTAAATGAAGATCTTTCATTTAAAGTTAATTAATAAAATAATTTTATAAGTAAAGAAGGAAATTTTGAAGGAACCATAGAGACTAATATGAATGAACACTAAGAGCACAGCTAGATTGTTAATATACATCCAAAGGTCCCATTTACTACTAGTTGAGATTAAATGATGTAACAAAATTAAAACACGAGCAGCTATAGGAGCTAAGTACATATATGATGGGAATATTTAATTATAATTGAGTGTAATACTTCCGAACTATATATATGTGAAGTCATTTTAATTCCAGTAAATTCATCAGAGGCATCATCAGAAGCACCATCAGAAGCTGTCACGTGATAACCTGGAGACTTGTATAGTCTGGATAGTTAGGATAGTTTGGTATCTGAGAATACCCAGGGTTTTGAGGATAGGCCAAGTTTGGGAAATATCACGGGGCCTGGACGAAGCTTGAATGTTGTGTATACCCAGAGATAGGATTGTGCGAGCATCCTGGATTTTGGCCCGTACATTGTTGTCCCTGAAACTGGGACATGAACGCGCCCTGAAGTAAACACATATTCCGACTTATTGCCTATGATCACAGTCAAGGATTTTCATGCCAAGTCGTACTGATATCCGCAGCCGGGCTCCAAAGCTAACAGTCTCTAGTTAATAGAACAATGTAAATGAGGGAAGTGGGCAAGATAGATCCATAATTCTCGCCCCCAGAGAAGAAGTCATGCTCTTTCTTGGGATACTGGAAGTTTATACAAAATAGAGACACTACAGGCGTTGTTTCAAAAGATCACAAAATATACTGCGTTGTTGAAAGAAGCACCATCAGAAGCCCACCAGAAGCACCGTTAATAAAAACCCGAAAAATATAAAATTTGAGTAACATAATTTTTGATATTTTTATAGTAAATAAAGATCTTTGTTCTAGGTTTGATGCTTCAATTCACCTAAATTAATTTCAGAAACGAAGGAAAACAATTCTCCATCAAAGGTAAGAAAACTGCACCACCAGAAGCCCACCAGAAGCACCGGTTATATAAGCCTCAGGAATCTAATAATTGAGGAATTTGATTTTTGATTCTTTTATAGTGAATGGAGATCTTCGATCATAGTCTAATGCTTCAATTCACCTGAATCTATTTCATAAACAAAGGAAGAGATTTCTAAATCAAAGGTAAGAAAGAAAGCACCATAGAAGCACCACCAGAAACACACCCACCAGAAGCACCGTTATGCGAGCCTCAGAAATATATTATTTGATTCAATTTTCAATGTTTTTGTAATAAATAAAGATCTTTCGTCTATAACCAATCACCAAAAACAATTTAATAAGTAAATGAAGAAATTTTGAGGTTGGAGGAACCTTCGCGATTAATGTAAACAAACACTTGAAGCAGAGATAAATTGTTGATGCAAAGCCACATTCAAAGGAACATTTTTCAGCATAAGAATTACTAGTTGGGATTAAATGATGTAACAAAATCAATGCACGAGCAAGTAAGGAGCTAAACACATATTTAATGTAAACATTATATACAACTAAGTGTAATACTCGTGTACTACAGATTTGCTAAGTCATTCTAATTCCAGTATATACATCAGAAGCACCACCAGAAGCACCACCAGAAGCACATCCAGAAGCACATCCAGAAGCACCACCAGAAGCTGTCACGTGACATGTCAAGCTCGTCAGAGAAGACGGCCTGCTCCTTTCGGCCACTGGACGTTTATATAGAGACACCTCTGGCATTGTTATAAAACTCCACCGATCATATCCTCTCGCAGGAACAAGCACCGGCCCGTCTGCGCGCGCCTGCCTGCAGGCCGGCCCCGGCCCTACTCCAACTAGCATCATCTAAACACCAGGCACAGGGCCAAAAAAAAAATACACCGCCACGCCTACACCCAGTCTTTACCTCCAGGTCCCCTTTTCCCCCATTTTCCCGCCCGGACGCCCGCCGCCAAAACCGCACCCGCCGCTGCGCCGCCATGTCCGTTCTCCCGAAAAAAAGAACCGCCAACAAGCAGGCCGGCCGCGGCAGTTCCGCCATTATCCACGACCTCTCCAGCAAGGCCCGGGGCGCGTCCGACCGGGCGGTTTCCGGCCCCCGCAGAAAGCCGCTGGGCGCCCGGCACGCCAGCAGGGGCGACATGTTTGTGGCCGGCGACGACGCGGGCGCCAACCTGTCGTTTGCCGAGGACGCCATCCATTTCCACGAAAACAGGTCCACGATCATGCTGAACTTCGAGGAGTGGATCAAGCTCTCCACGGACAACAAGATCACGCTGAAAAACTCGTGGCACTTTGCGCTCATCGACTACTTCCACGACCTCAACGTGATCAAGGACGGCGACAACATCAACTTCCAGCGGGCCCTGGCCACGTTGGACGGCTGTGTGAAGATCTACCTGAGCCGCGTGGAGTCCGCGGCCTCCGAGACCGGCAAGTTGTTGAGCGGGCTCGCGGCCAAGCGCGGCCACGCGGACCGCGGCCCTGAGCTGCTGGACGACGACGCCGAATCTGCCGCCGGGGACGCCGTTCTTGCGGGGGGCAAGAAGGAGCGCCGGCTCAACCGCGTGGTGGCGCTGACGCTCGTGCCGTTCGACGCGGTGCGCGTGCGCAAGTTGGACCAGGAGTTGGCCATCGACCCGCTTTTCAAGAAGGCGCTAGCGGAGTTTGACGAGGGCGGCGCCAAGTCGTTGTTGCTCAACACGCTCCACATCGACGCCCTGGGGCGCGTTGTTTTCGATGCCACCAGCAGCCTGCGGGCGGCCGGCGCTGGCCCGGGGAAGCCACCTTTCGAGAATGGGCCTGTTTCTGGAAATGGGCCCGTTACTGGAAATGAGCTAGCTTCTGGAAATGAGCTAGTTTCTGGCAATGAGCCCGTTCCTGAAAATAAGCCCGTTTCTGGCCAGCCCGCCCCCGCGGCCGTGGACCTCGCGCCCCTCAAGCAGCTCGTGTACGCCGGCGCCGCCGACCTCGCCGCGTACGAAATCTCGCCCTCCATGCGCCAGTTGAAGGCCGTCTTGCGCGACGTCTCCCAGGCCCGCGCCATCCTCACGGACGTCAACCGCAAGTTCGTGGGCGACGACGACGAACACGCCGACAATGCCCAGCCATCCCAGCCCGACCAGCCATCCCAGCCCGACCAGCCATTCCAGCCCGACCAGCCCGACGCGGGCTTGGAGCTCGACTTGGGCTGGGACTTCGACGAGCCGCGCCTGCCCGCCGCGGCCGCCGCGGATTACGAGCACGATCTCCAGGCGCTGCTGCTGCCCATGGCCCTCGGCTCGCGCCACGCGCCGCCGCCGCTCGCCAAGGAGCAGGTGCTAGACCTGGACTTGATGGCGTACTTTGACGAGCGCATGAAAACCAACTGGCGCGGCCCCGAGCACTGGCGCGTGACGGCGCTCAAGCGGGCCAAGAACATCGGCGCCGGCACGGGATTGCAGGCCGCCGTGCCCGCGGTGCCGGCCGGCCCCCGCAAGCCCAAGAAGGAGCAGGTGCTCATCGACTTCTTTGCCGACGACGACGACGACGCCGTGGAGGACATGTTCCGCCGGGCCCGCGGTGCCGCGGCCTCCAGCCGGCGGCCCGAGCACCGGCGGCCCGCCCACCGCCACCTCTTGCCCGAGGACATCCAGTTCAACTCGCAGCGGTTGGTGACGCTTTTCTTGAAGCCGCACAAGAGCATCGTGGCGCCCGCGGCCGCGGCCGGCTCTCCGCGAGGGGCCAGCCGCGATACGTACACGGACGAGCAGTACTTTGCGGGCGTGTACGAGGAGCGCGAGAAGGGCCTCGCGGAGGACGAGCGCCAGGAGAAGCTCGCGCTCTCGTTCCACCAGGCGGAAATGGACGACTGCGACAATGACGACTACGGTGCCATCGACTTCAACGACGTGCTCGAGCCGGGCGCGCCCGGCGCGGTCAAGGACGAGCCCAGCAGCCAGCTCGTGAGCCGCAAGGCGCGGCCCGAGTACGTCAACTACCTGCGCGTGGCCAAGCGCGTGGACATCAAGTTGTTGAAGGACAATCTATGGGCGTCCATCAAGCGCGAGCCTGCCGACGCGAGCCTGCCGGCGCCCGAGCCGCCGTGCCTGGCGGACGGCAACCAGAAGACCTTCCGCGACGTCGTGGACGTGATTGGCTCCATGTACCGGCCCGAGGAGAAGAAGGATTTGTCGACGAGCTTCTGCTTCATCTGCCTCTTGCACTTGGCCAACGAGCACGGGCTCGCGTTGCTGGCCACGGAGCAGCACGACAACATGGTCATCTCGGGCTTCTAGGTGGTGCTTTCGAGGGGGTTCGGGGCAGTTTCCGGTTCCGGCGGTGATTGCCTGCGGCTCGTGGTGAGCAATCACGGTGCGTGGTGATAATCTTCGGTTTCCGCTGACTATCGTCGTTTTCTGGCGGTAGTCTCGTGGTGATTATCTCCATTTCCGGTCGTGGTTTACTTCGGTTCACGGTGCTTAACTAACACCGGTTCCGGGTGATTACCTACGGTTCTTGGTGGTTCTCTCCATTTCTGGTGATTATCTCCATTTGTGGTGATTATCTCCATTTCCGGTAGTGAATGCTTTTGGTTTCTGGTAATCTCCATTTCTGGTGACTTACTTCGATTACCTTCGGTTCCTTGTGATTTACGTCGGTTCCTGGCGATTATCCCCATTTCTGGTGATTAACTTCGGTTCCTGGCGATTATCCTCATTCCTGGTGATTTACTTCGGTTCCTGGCAATTATCCCCGTTTCTGGTGATTAACTTCGGTTCCTGGCAATCATCCCCGTTTCTGGTGATTAACTTCGGTTCCTGGCGATTATCCCCATTTCTGGTGACTTACTTCGATTACCTTCGGTCCCTGGTGATTACCTACTGTCCCTGGTGATTATCTCCATTTCCAATGGTGATTACCTGCGGCTCCTGATAACTACCTCCATTTCGCTGGTGATCATCAACGCCTCCTGATGATCGTCCCTACCAATTACCGATGACTATACGGCTCCTGGTGGATCTCCGGCTTCAAGCATGCTCGACATTTTGCACCCAAGCTGTGCGCGCGGCCCGCCACGCCCGCCACGCCCGCCCGTCACCTGCGCGCGCTTGGGCCGCGCACGCCCTTCCATGTTCTTCTTGCATGCGGTGACGCCTTCCTCGTCTCCTCGCCCACTACAAAAAATCATGCTTGGAGTCGCCAGACACCCCCTCCGCCAGCTCGCGCGTCTGGCCTTGGCGCCGGTCTTGACCAGGCGCTTCCCCCACACCGCGGGCGCGTTTTCCCGGCCCAAATCCCCCGGCCCATCCCGCCGCTACGTCTCCACCTCCACCGTGTCCATGCTTTCCTCCATGGAGCAGGCCGCCAACAGCGACTTGGCCAACGCAGACATCCAGGAGGAGTTCTACAAAAACTTGCTCGCCACAAACTACCCGCACATCGTCGTGCAGCGCTTCGAGACCCCAGGCATCTCGTCCAACCCGGCTTGCACCCAGCTCTACATCGAGGCCTTGAACAAGACCGGCAAGAAAACCAAGGCAGACCTGGTGGCACGTGACTTGGCTGCCGGCAGGGCCTCTGTGGCCGCCGGCTCGCCGCAGGCGTTTTCCGGCCTCGCCGCGGGCGTCGGCTCCCGCTCCGATCCTGTCCACGTGGTGGTCAGCGAGAGCGGGCTCACCGTGGTGTCGAAATGGCTCAAGTGGTTGATTCCGCTCGCCCTTCTTACCTACGGCGCGTCGAACGCGTTCAACTACTTGGTGGAAAACGGCACCATCTTCCGCAACTCCGAGGTCGCCGACAAGTCGGTCGACGTGTCGCAGTCCACCGTCAGATTCGAAGACGTGCAAGGGTGCGATGAGGCCAGGGCCGAGTTGGAGGAAATCGTCGATTTCTTGAAAGACCCCTCCAAGTTCACCGGCTTGGGCGGCAAGTTGCCCAAGGGTGTCTTGTTGACCGGACCCCCCGGAACCGGTAAGACCTTGTTGGCCCGGGCCACCGCCGGCGAGGCCGGCGTGCCGTTTTTCTTCATGTCTGGGTCCGAGTTCGACGAGCTCTACGTTGGTGTTGGTGCCAAGAGGATCCGCGAGTTGTTCTCGCAGGCCAGAGAAAAGTCTCCCGCCATCATCTTCATCGATGAGTTGGATGCGATTGGAGGCAAGAGAAACCCAAAGGACCAGGCATACGCCAAGCAGACTTTGAACCAGCTTTTGGTGGAGCTAGACGGCTTTTCCCAGTCCGAAGGTATCATCATCATCGGTGCCACCAATTTCCCCGAGTCCTTGGACAAGGCCTTGACCAGACCTGGCAGATTTGACAAGGAGGTGATTGTAGAGTTGCCCGACGTTCGCGGCCGTGTCGACATCCTCAAGCACCACATGCGCAACGTCGAGACCGCAGAGAACATCGACCCCACTGTCATTGCTCGGGGCACGCCCGGCTTGTCTGGAGCGGAATTGATGAACTTGGTCAACCAAGCGGCTGTCCACGCTTCGCAGCTCTCTGCGCCAGCCGTAGACATGACGCATTTTGAGTGGGCTAAGGACAAGATCTTGATGGGTGCTGCCAAGGAGAAGATGGTCATCACCGAAGAAGCAAGAAAAAACACCGCTTACCACGAGGCCGGGCATGCCATAATGGCCATGTACTCGCCAGCCGCCACGCCATTATACAAGGCCACGATCTTGCCAAGAGGCAGGGCCTTAGGTGTCACCTTCCAGTTGCCCGAAATGGACAAGGTGGACATGACCAAAAAGGAATGCTTCTCTAGGCTTGATGTTTGTATGGGCGGCAAGATTGCGGAAGAGATGATTCACGGCCCTGAAAACGTGACCAGCGGCTGTTCCTCCGATTTGGCCAGCGCCACCGGGATGGCCAGAGCCATGGTCGCCTCCTACGGAATGAGTGACGTCATCGGCCCGGTACGGTTAAGCGATGACTGGGAATCCTGGTCTCCAAAGATCCGTGACATGGCTGACAACGAAGTCAGAAATTTCCTCATTGAGTCGGAGCAAAGGACGAGGAGAATGCTCAAGGACAGGTCGACAGAGTTGAAACGGCTCGCGGAGGGCTTGCTAGAATACGAGACTTTGACCAGAGATGAGATGGAGAAACTCGTCAAAGGGGAGAAGATCAGCAAGGCAAAAACCGTGAGTAATACTGTCATCAAGTCGACTGGCAGTGGGAGATTGGAAGTCATTGGTGAGCACACTCCCATCACGGCCGAGGCTTGATCGTCGCTAAACAGAAAGATATATGTGTATGTAAATAAATTAAGAAACTACTTAAGATACCGCCTGATGGTTCAGAATAATATTATTAAAGGATGAAAGATGATCGTCACTTGCCACAGCCGTTTTGTAGTGTCCTACCTGTCCAAGATTGATACTAAGTCTAGTGTTGACCGTTTTGGAAAAAGTTGGACAATTGTGCGCCCAAGTTCGCGTTATTTGGAGCGCCGTAATTGGGAGCGCCGTAATTTTGTTGGGGAGGGAAACCCTGCTGAGGCATCTGTTGACCCATTGGCGGGGACATCTGTGGAGGCATCTGTTGAGGCATCTGAGGCATCTGCGGAGGCATCTGCGGCATCTGGGGCATGTGAGGCATGTGTGGCATGTGTGGCATCTGGGGCATCTGCAGCATTTGCGGAGGCATCTGTGGGGGGTAGCCGCCTTGGCCTCCCTGGTTATTGAACAACCCGCTCAATGGGTTTGCACCTTGCGCATAACCCTTGAAGTCTTGTGGGCCGCCACTAATATGGGCCTTGGCATACTGGTCATCAGACTCACCTGGTCTGTTGGACTTTGGCCCGTTTCTGGTGGAGTTGGTGGGCATCTTCTTGGACATGGCCTTGGACGAAATGCCCGTGCCAATCTCAATGTCGGGCTCGTCGATCACTATGCCACTTTCAAGAGGGGCGCCGCCGGTACCGCCCCATTGTGCAGAGACAACCCATTGTCTGTCGGCATCAGTCAACCGTTGAATAGGGATGATGGAGATGCCGTGCTGGTAGTTGCAACAGTCTCTTGGCCCGAAGCCTACACCCCAACGGGTTCTCAAGGGCAAGGAGCCGTCCTTGTTGAAGGACTGGATGACCTGCTCGGCCTCCTTCCTGGAGTACACCTTCACAAACGCGTGTTTGCGCTCGCTGTTCAAGATGATCGATTGGACCACCGCATGGGGCCTCAAGTGCGAGGCAAGTTCGCGCTCGTCCATGCCGCGTGGCACACCGCCCACAAACAATGTTCTGGACAACACCTTGAACGAGCCCTGGGGCAACGAGTTGTCGAAGCCCATGTTGCGTGGACGGAAGTTTGGGTTTCCTGGCACGTTCATCTCACCCTCGGGCCCCATGTTCTGGGGTCCAGAGTTGCGTTGCTGGGATCTTTGCTGGTTTTCATATCCGCTGCCGTTGTTCTCGTGGCCGTTGTTATTGTTGTTGCTATCGTATCTGTTCAAGCGGCCTTGGGGCGATCTGGACCTGTTTCTTCTCGAGTACCCACCGAGATCGTCGCGGCCGCGCCGGTCATTCTGGTAGTTCTGGTATCCGTTCGGAGGGCCCTGCTGCTGCAGCATCTGGCCCACGGGCGGCATTCCCTGGGTTGGGGGAACGGGGGGCATCTGGGCAGGGCCCTGGCCAGGCGCCTGCCCGCCGTTGCCCTGCATCTGCTGCAACATGTTGAAAATAAACTCCTTGTTTCCTTGCTGCGGCTGGGTCTGCGAGATGGGCGGAGACTGCACCTGCGGGTGGGCCACGGGAGGAGTGCCGTTTCCTGCCAAAGCCGACAACTGGGAGAGGATGTTGGTGGTGTTGTTGGCCGGCGCGGCGGCCGAGTTTTGCATCACCGGCGTGCCGCTTTGGGGCGGGGTGGGGGTCTCGGCCTTCTTGGCCAAAGACGCGAGCGCCAGCAATATGCTTCCTGAATCCTGAGCCGCACCCACGTTGGTGGGAGGGGCGGGAAGCGTGCTTGGAAGGCCGCTGGGGGCCGAGGGCCCCGATGTGGATGGCGCGTGGAGCTGAGATTTCTTTCCCGGGGGCGAGCCCTGGGGCGTGAGCGAATCAAAGTGCTTTCTTCTGATGGAGGCAATCGTGTCGGGGCTGAAGGTCAGCGCCCGCTCCCAGATATCCACGAGCTTGCTGATCTTGGACACGGTGGCGGACACAATGACCAAGCTCATGGTGTCGTCGATAAGGGGCTCGACCAACTGGCCGATCCTGTAGACGCCGGCGGCATAGGAGCCCTCGGGGGCGTCGGCGTTGACCTCCTCGCCTCTCTTCTTGGCCTCGTCCATATAAACTCTTACGATGGAGTCCACCACGTATAACGCGCCCAACTTGTGCGAGGAAGGAATGGCTTTACAGCTGGAGTACAATACAGTGATGAGCTGGGACTCGTCGGCCACGTTCTTCACTGCCATGTCGGTCAATTTCTTGATGCGGGTGCCAGACACCCCGGGCGCCCTCAAGGTGGGCAACTCCTTCAAAATGCTATCGAATACTTGGACCTCGGACATGTCAAGGTGGTCTCGGTGCTGCGTGTGTGTGTGTGTCCACGGATCGTGAAGTGTCAGCAGAAGTTTTTTTTAAAGTTTACTGCAACTTGTGTGGGGTCCTCCTGCTACTTGAAGAGACCGCTATTCAAATTTCGTCAGAAAAGGTTCTAAAGTGACAGGCTCTTAGCTTCACCAATTACAGTACTTTACTATACAACCGCGTCGATACAAGTGTCTTTTGGGTTGAGTGAACTGAAAGGGGTTTCGGGGGAGCCGGCGGGGGTAACTAGAAGCAGAGGTGGTCCAGGGGATGGTGCCGGGAGAAGAAAAGCGGCGGGCAGGGGTGGTTTCGGCAACAAGGCTGAAATTCGCGGGCGCTAAATCTGGTACGGCCCTCTGTCCTATTTTTCTTGCTCTATTTTGTGCTGGGGCTGGAGGGGCGAGCCGGCGCGCTTATATAGTGCGGTGGTGCGCGCACGCCCCCGCGGCGCCGCGGGCACCCCGGGACCAGGATTACGCGCGGGCGTGCCTGCAGTTACGCCGGCAGCGGCGTGGGAAAAATTTCACGGGCCACGGTGCAAAACGGCATCTCCGGGCCCAGCTAAGCAATGTGGAAACAAGCATTCATCCGGTGGAACTCCACCGCGGCCGCCGTGGCGCCCGTGCAGATCCGCCTGACGCTTTTGTTGCTGAGAATCCCCGTGGTTTCCGCCGATTTGCCCGTGTTCCAGCAGCAGTACTACAAGTACCAGAACGAGCTCTGGAAAAGATTGATGTGGACCTTTCCCAAGTGGTTCTACTTCCGGGAGGGCACGTTGGCCGAGCAGAAGTACCGCGAGTTGAACAAGGACCCCGTTTTCAACAATCCGAACCTCGAGTTCACGGGGGGCCGTCCCGAAATCAGGCACCAAAGAGACCGCCGATTCAAGCAGGACGTGTTGTTGCCCAAGACCTACAAGGAGGGCGAGGAGACGACACAGGCGGACGCCATGTCGCGCAAAATCGTGCCCAATCTGCGCACCACGGACGCGGACCGCCACAACGACGAGTCGTCGTTGGAGAGGAGGTTGGCCCGCACGTTGTACTTGGTGGTGAGCGCCGACAAGGGCCAGACCTGGGGTTTCCCCACGTTTGCCAGCGACGGGCAGGCGCTACATACGACGGCCGAGGCGGGGCTCTATGCGCTTGGCGGCACGCAGATCAACTACTTCAACGTGTCGCCCAAGCCGTGTCACGTGCTTTCGGCCGGCGACAGCAGGGCGTTTTTCATCAAGCTGCACATCTTGTCGGGCGTCTTCCAGCCGGCGCCGAACACCGTGCACAAGTGGTTGGCCAAGGACGAGCTCGCGGCGCACTTGGACGAGCTGTATTACAACGACGTGTGCCATTTGCTCAGCGAGGTCTAGAGCCCGGGCTTATCCGGCGGACGGTGTGGCGTCCGCACCACAGCATTTAATTGAGCATGCGCTTGTACATAGAGAATAGAAGCCGCTGAACGTATTGGGCTGGAGGTGGTGCCCGCTGCTGTGGAGTGCGGGGCAAGCAGGGCCACCCCGGTGTTTTGCACGGGCAGGGGGACTCTTTTTCTTGTGCTTCCTATTGTTGTTCCTCTCCTCATTGCACTTTGGTTTTGTGCTGCCGGGGCTGCTCTGGCGTTCCGGGGTAGACTAGTCCTCTCACATCTCTCATGATTAGAGTTAGTGAAATAGACTAAGACATAGGGCATATAGTATTATATTGAAATATAGGATATATCTTATTATAAAATCATATAAATATCATAAATGGGAGATTTATAACCGGGGAATTTTGTTTTCACGTCGGGGTGTCTGGGTGTCTTAGTCTGTTAGTCTCTGAGCCTTTAAGTCTCTTTGTTTTTTAGTGACTTAATATCTTGGTCTCTTAGTCTGTTAATCTCCGTCTCTTAGTGTCTTAGTCTGTTAGTCTCTGAGTTTCTTGGTATTTCAGTCCCTTAGTCTCTTATTCTGTTAGTCTCAGTCTCTTAATCTCTTAATCTCTTAATCTCGTAGTCTCTTATTTTGTTAGTCTCAGTCTCGTAGTGTCTTAGTGTCTTGGTGTCTTAGTGTCTTGGTGTCTTAGTGTCTTAGTTTCTCGATCTGTTATTCTGCTAGTCTGTCAGTCTGTCGATCTGTTAATCCCCTAGTCTTTGAGTCTCTAGCTTTCCTACTCTGCTACTCTTTGAAACTTTTTCGACTTGAAGATGTTTTATTACCTGTTAAAGCCATTAGAACATTCTACTCTCCTACTCTCCTATTCTGTCTCATTCTCATTCTCTGATTTTCTGTTTCTGATTTTCGGTTGCTGATTCTCTATTCCTGTTTCTGCCTCTCTGTTTCTGCCTCTCTGTTTCTGCCTCTCTGTTTCTGCCTCTCTGTTTCTGATTCTCTGATTCTGATTATCTATTTCTGATTCAAAGGGCATATTTATATTATATATTATTACCATTTTCGTTGTTATGTATAACTGTACCCTATTTTACCTATCGTAATAAATGTCAACTAGATCCTTAAAGTTAAAAATACATTAAAAGATTAAGAAAAGCTAGTGCTTCTCATTGTAGAGAAAACCCAACTGAATTACTATGTTTAGTATAACTAACCATATTTATCTGTTTCTGATTCTCTATTCCTGATTCTGGCTCTCTGTGTCTGTTGATCTGTTTTCGTCTCCCCGTATCTCTCTCTGTTCCTACTCTCTTGCTTGGTAGCCCTCATCTCTTCTCTTAATATTCGCCAGTCTAGTTCCCTGTGTTTTCTCCAGTGTGCTCAACATTATTCCCATTCCAATTCAATTGTCTCTCATCCCTGCGAAATGTATGTTGCTCTTCTTCTGGTCTTGCTCTCTACTGCGTTTCTCTAGATAACCCTCCCATCTGTAATTTTCCACTACATATCCTCACGCTTTATGCTCGATATCTCTCAGATCTCTTCTCTTATCCAACTCTGCCTTGGTTCCGCCTTGCTCTATTACTGCTGTCTGGACACTTCACGACGCGTCACTCACACAGCTGCTCTTACTTTTTTGTTATGCGGCCCATCCTAGTATCGTTCAATCGCTATATCTATGCTGCTCCACAATACAACGTTCTTTCTTCTCGTCTGTGTTCTTGTCTGCCCGTGCAGTTCTACTCTCGCCCTTTTGGGCCCTCGGGTTTCCTCTGTGATTCTCAATCACCCATATTCCTATACATCCATAGTCTCTATTGAGCTTCTCTCGCGCTTCAATCCCTTCTTACGTTCTGGCTTGGTGTTTTCTTGGAGTCAATCCCAGTCTCGCCATTCTGCCGTTTCTCGTCTCTGTCAGTCTCAATGCATTCTCACTAAACCCTCTTTCTTTCTTCCTCTCTCTCTTGGACTCTACTTTCGGAAAACATGTCAGCCTGCGTGTGTCTGGTCCTCCTGACCTCGATTTGTCTCGAGCTTCTCTGAATACTTCCCCTGCTTTTCTTATTCTTCTACGTACCCCTCCATCTCCACCCCACGAATGGCCGGTTCTATGTCTGGTGTTTTTCTTTCATTCTCAACCCACTTCCTACTTTCTCTCATTCGGCTCGCTCAACTCCCGTCATTCTTCCGGCCCTTTTCTGAGTATCGATGGAGAAGTACTTGTCCAATGCCTGCACCCGTCCTTGATGCTCCGCAGATTGATGGAGCCCAAGGATGCCGGGAAGAAATCAAGCCCCTGTGGTTTGAAGATCCACGGTGGGGACTCCTCGCTGCCTGATTGCAGGCCCAACCTGTCGTTTCCAACACCATGTTCGTGAAGACATTTAAGAAAGAGGCCGCCATGTTATGCGTGGCCGGGTCGATGGAGCCCGCACCAACGGCCGCCGATGCCAGCCTCTATCTCTTCAAGTCGCCACCCGGTTCTCGTCGTCTCTCCTGATATTGGATTGAGCTATTTTGGGAGTGCTCGGTCTCAGGTACCATCTCCCTCAGCGAGGGGTATATTCTGTCCACTCTCCTATACTCTTTCAATGGCTGGTCTGCGGCTTCCTTCTTGTCAGCCTCCGTTCCCGTCAAGCACTTTCTAGCACCTCTCTCCGTCCCCGTCAAGCACTTTCCAGCACCTCTCTCTGTACCCGCCAAGCACTTTCCAGCACCTCTCTCCATCCGTCGCGTCGTCCCCTCTCCATCTCGTCTGCCCACCGGGCGTTCGATCTCAGCCGCACGCCCTCTCGGCAGCTCCTCGGCCGGTCCCGCGGCAAGCAGGCCACCCCACACGGCGCTCTACAAGTCCTTCTTGCCCCGAATCACCTGCTCCGCCGCCCAGATGGAGCGGTCGAGCACGGCGCCCACCGTCAAGACGCCCGCGATGGAGCTCACCACGCCCAACACAAAGCCGGACCATGTCTTGGCGTGCTGCTCGCGGTTGATGATCTTCATGGGCAGAATGTCGAAGTGGAAGAACGCGCCCGGCACGCCGCCCTGCGCGTGCAACGTGTTCTGGTGGTCGTCGTCGCGGCCGCCCACGATGGGCCGGTCGTGCGTGATCACCGAGTACTGGTTGGTGTCCACGGGCGGGCGCTGGGCGTCCAAGAACTCCACGCGGGTCGCCACCACCGAGAGGTAGTACAGCGCCACGTGCTCCTTCTGGGCCACGTCGAACGCGTAGCCGTCCAACGGGCTCACGGAGAGCTGCTCGCCGCCGCCGCCGCCCGGCGCCGCGCCAAACGAGAAGTGGTGGATGCGGTGCCGGAGCGTGAACTTGTCGGCGTACTTGCGCCACAACGACAAGTCGTGCGAGTGGCGGCCGCGCGCCGAGAACGGCGCGCCCGGCGCAAAGTGCAAGTTGCCCGCGATGCGGTTGATCTGCGTCGAGCCCTTGACGCGGCAGCCCTCGTTGTTCGCAATGCGCTCCTTCATCTTGGCCACGTAGCCCTCCGCCTCGCACTGCGCAATGTCCGAGCCGTCGAAAAAGCCCCACTGCTTGGTGGCGTACGCCAAACGCACCGCCTGGCACGTGTTGCAGCAGTGCTGGCTGGCGGACTGGTCCAACGCGCCGTAGCACGAGCCGCACGGCTCGTTCTGCTGTGCCTGCGCCGCCGTCAAGCCCTTGCACTGCTCGTCGAGCGCGTGCATGCCGGACAAGATGGGCAAGTCGTCCTTGACCTCGGCGCCCAGCGGGAGCACGCGGAACATGTCGAAGCCGGACGCAAAAAGGTCCAAGTGCACGTCGCCGGTGAGGTCCAAGATGTCGAGCGTGAGCACGCCGCAGGGGATGTCGGCAAACGAGATGTCCAAGCTGATGTCGAGCTGCTTGTTGACGTCGCGGTCGACCGCGAGCTCGGGGCGCACCACCACGCGGGTGTAGTCGAGGTACTCGTTGCGGATCAAGAACATGACGATGAAAACACACACCACGGAAATCAAGCCGCCGGACGCGGTTTTGACGCGCGCGTCCTCGACGGTCTTGGCGAACGCGTCGAGGGAAATCAACCTGGGGCCGGACGACATTTGGGGGGCTTGGGTGTGCGTGGGCCTTGGGAAGAAAGAGTGGTTGAAGACGCCGAGGCTGGGGAGGCGCCGAGAAGTCCCCAGCGGGAACATGGTGCGCGCACGACCCGACTAAACGTGGCGCTGCCAGCCGGGCCGGCCTTTTTTTGCGGCGGTGCTGGGGCGCCGGCGCTGGGGCGGCATTTTCTGCTGCTCGCCGCCGCTGGGTGGTGGCTGAGGCTCAGGCTTGTGTGCGTTTCCATAAGGATACGTGGCACGGCTGCGCACCGCGGGGCCACCAGTATGGAGGGAGACCCCGGATTTTGGGATGCGAGACTTTTCTTTGGGGGGAGCTTCCACGGTGGGAAGCTGGAATCTGGATTGGGCCGTGGCATGTCCGTTGCTGTGATGGGCTTATTGCCGGGAACTTTTGTAGGGGTGCCATAGTGTGAGATGTGCTTCATGATTAGATTCATTTCATTCAAGTCTTGGTTGTGGACATGTACTTTACTAATGATGAACTTTATTGCTGGAGCCTGTTGTTGTGGGCATTGTCGTGTCAGATGTTGTATTATGAGATGTATATCTTTACGGGATCTAATTCATTATTGGACTCATTTCTTTCTAGTCCTGTTCTCGTGACATGTACTTTACTAATGATGAACTTTATTGCTGGAGCCTGTTGTTGTGGGCATTGTCGTGTCAGATGTTGTATTATGAGATGTATATCTTTACGGGATCTAATTCATTATTGGACTCATTTCTTTCTAGTCCTGTTCTCGTTACAACTCATTTACTAGAAATAAATCTTCATTAAACCGTTTATCGTGGATGCCATTGCAGCACTAGATTTTGTATTATGAGATACACGTTCATCCGTTTGCGTTTGGCTGTAAACTCATAATAGTTTAGATTTTCACTACTGGAAGCACTTTCATTAACAGAAACAGTATTCATATCAGAACCCCTCTCATTGCGGGGTGCCGTTTTCACATAAGGCCTCGTTATATTGTGAAATGCGCTTCTATTATGAGATATACCCATGATGTGAAGTACATCAGCATTAAGTCATTTCCAATCTATGTTGCTTTTGCAAAATACAGGAGCCTTCATTGTAAGAGAGTGTATTGTTGTGGTTATTTTCGTGTCAGATGCTGGTCCATGAGATGTATTTCTCGGGATGCAATTCATTATTGGATTCATTTCATTCTAATTTTCTTTTCGGCACATTTACTTTACTAAAGAAGAATCTTTATTGATGGAGCCTGGTGTTATGAGTACCATGTGAGATGTACTTCATCGCTATAATCAATTAATTCAAGTCTTGGTTTCGTGACATGTATTTTGATAGAGAAAAATCTTCATTGCTGGGGCCTGCTGTTGTGGGTGCCATAGTGTGAGATGTAGATTACTTCATCATTGGATTCATTTCATTCTAATCTTGACATTTATTTTACTAATGATGAACTTCATTGCTTGAGACTTTTGTAGGGGTTCCATAGTGTGAGACGCTGTGCTATGGGATGCGCTTCGTTATGGATTCATTCCATTCTAATCTTGTTTTCGTGACATTTATTTAACTAGGGAAGAATCTTCATTGCTGGAGACTGTTGTTCTAGGTACCACAGTGTTAGATATCGTATAATGAGATGTACTTCATTATGAGACGTGCTTCATTATAGAAATCATATCATTCAAATCTTGCTTCGTGTAATACAAGTCCGCTAGAAATCAACCTTTTTGCTGAAAACCATTTGGTTTGGGTGCTATTGTAGTACTAGATGTTGGATCATGAAATGCACTACCATGTGAGATGCGCTTACATTGTGAGCTGCACTTCTGTTACAATACAACATTGTGGTGGGTGTATTTTCATCGTGATTAATACTCTCAGTTGGAGCCACTCCCGTTATTGGAAACTGTTTCAGTACCAGCAACCGTTTATTATCGGATGCTGTTATAGTATGAGATCCTCTTATACTATGCGATACCCCTACACTATCGGATACCAATGTATCATGCGCTGTATTTGAAATGTATTTATCATGCTCTATGAACGCCAATACTATGGACCCGGGCTTCATGGGACTAATACCACCTTTAGGTTCCCAAGCCTGGGATAAGCGATTGACAGGGATAATCGCTTGCTCCGCCTGCGATCCGCTGGCCCAACGGATACCAGACTTGAAATACCTGTCCCCACGTTAAACTTAAATAGCTGCTTTGATCACACATGCCAACACTGCAAAATGTCTGCTCATGAGTAGCACCTAATTTAAAAAGTCCACGATTCTATGTTCGCGTTCCGATTTATTAGGCCTTCAAGCCGTCCCCTTGATATGTAGCATTCCAGGGGCTGAGCTACGGAATCAGAAACGATATACGCAACCTCATAATAAATTACCAACATTTTTCCAGCATAGTGAATATCATGGGATTAATCTTGTATCTTTACATATTTCAATTGCCTGTCGATGATCTATCGTCATCGACGACAAGAGAGTTGCAAGCTTACGATATCAGGCATATGGGTAACTAGAAAGGAGGCATTCATCTAACCGGAGAAAAAGTCTGTTGGAATTTAGACAAATTTTTGTGGTATCAAAAGAAATATATGTACAATTCATGATCATCGCTCGTGCTCGGCACAGAGATTTTTCTGGACCGAGACTTAGATACGATGACAATGAAAGTTCAGTGTGAACAAGGCTAAATAAAAAACGTGGCCGTGGGCGGCAAGCGGAACTTTCTTCACAGCAATCCAACACCCAGGCGACCTCAGGAATTCAAATTATTCTTTTTTTTCGTAAGATTGATGACGTGTCTGAAAGACGTGATTTGAGTCAATAGACGAACACCGAGATTTAGTGACCCCAACTTTCTTCCACATTTCCTGGGCTAGGCACACAGAGCTGCGTGTATGCCTGGTGCCGTCTAAGGTTTTTTTGAGGAAAAAGTTTCATTTTATGTAGACCAAACAGGATTGCAGGTACCTGACTACACGTCGGAACTATTGAGACCGGATTTTTGTAGAACGAGTTCTAGGTAGGCCTCGCCACACTATATCTCTTGGAAGTGACGTCAATTTACTATAAAGTGTCCGTAACAACTCAGATCCGCCTCCCTGCCAGAAGGATGTCAGACGCCTGATCCGATACTCAAAGTATTTCGGCTCTAGGTTCAAATTGCATACATCTGTTTTTTTGGAAGTCGCGTCATTCATTTGCTTTATTGTGAAAATGTCACATCCCTTTGTCAATTGTTTGCTCTTTCTTTCATTTGATATGACTATTACCACAACGCATTTTGACATTATCATTTTCAAAACTTATGCTGAAAACGAGTGAGGACAATAACGACTGCATTGATGACTTTAAGGTCTTGTCCCCAACGAGTTCGCACCATTTAGAGTTTGCGTCTGCCGAATGAGGACGGTGCTGTAAAAAGCTTGTTTGTGATTGATCGCTCTGAAGTTTAGCGTGACCTGTCCTAGTATGATTGTATTATTGGGCGCACCTCATTCACGCTTTGGCGAATTTATCAGCTGAAACTCCGCGATTGTTCGAAGTCAAGAGAGTCATGAGGTTTTGATTCCATCTTTAGAAGATCCAAATTAGACTTCAGTAGTTGCGTTAGTTCTAGACAGACATCACGAGTCGAATCCAATAATTTCTGCAGTTTGCAAATTGAACAATGTAAAAAATGAAACTGTTTTCAGCTCTAGTTCCGTTTTTGGTCTCCTCGAGAATTTAACCTTTTGTACTCGAGGAGTATCTCAAAGGACGGCAAAATCTCTAGACAGAAATCTGAGAGCCTCTTAGACTCAATTTTGGCCCTAGGTTTTCTGGCAAGCTCAGAGGAACTTTACCCGGACCATTTAAAATAAACACTAAGAGCTGCCAAATAATTTGACGGATGTTGTAATAGAGCGCCAGAAATTGAACGAAACGAGTATCATGCCTCGAATTTGAATAAACGTTTTATTTTTAGCAACCTTTGCACACAGACATATCTCTACCTATTATTAACGGAACGCAGAATAGAAAACCTTATATTTGATACATTTTTATTCTCTTCAAATAAACTTTTGTCCAGCTAGAGTTCTGTTGTCTGTGTTTTTGCTTCATTTTTGAAGTCTGCTGTGTGTGGATTTTGCCAGTGTTACCAACAATCCCCACCCAAAGTTCCTTGAGGTGAAAGAGTAAATCACTTATGCTCATTTCCTGGTTTTTCCTTACCACTCACTGACTTTGAAAGGCCTTTTTCTGTGTCTTTTAATTTTAGTATTACCTGTCTATTGGTTTCACCGTCTGTAAAGAATTCCAGCCGCTCTGCAGATACTTTAAAGATGTAACATAATTGTGAAAGCCGAATGAACCAGATACTATATAAAGCTGGAGGTATAAAATGAAAGAGAGCTGTCTAAAATCAGGAAGTTCTTTCACACAACATTTCAATTTGACCAATGAAACTCATCGTCGGATTATCTCTTCTTGCCCTAGCACTTTGCAAACCTATCAAAGGCAAAGGTTTTTTCATCACTGAATCGTATGATAATTTATCGGACTCTTTCTTTCTCTCAGTGTTGCAAGATGGTACAATCTTTATGAAGAAAGATCTGCCAGGAAAATTTACTGTAAAAGACGGATATGTCTCGGTTAAAGATTCTCATTTGAATTTGAATTATGAAGGGAAACTAGTCCTCTCGCAAGAAAAAAACGAGAATCTCAAGATTTTCTGGGATGAGAACCATGAAAAATTTTACTTGATGCTCAATGGAAATTATTTTTTCGAGGCCTGTGACGATCGCCTGGTTGGTCATGGAACGGGATGTGTCGGATCAATGATTCGGATTCAATTTGAGCCGCAAAGGTAGGAGTTTGAGAGGATGTTTTTTTTAAGTAAATGTGTTTATATGCTTAAGGCAATAAAACAATCAAACAACATGTATTAGGGGTCATGAGTATATATGTCCACGAATCAGTGTGTACTAGGAGTCCACAACTTGTACTCGTATGGATCTGGTCGGTGTCTCGTTTTATGCCAGCAACCAAACATACTCGGGAAAAATAAAATGAACCTATCAGATCACGTCATTTTGGTATCTTTTATATAAAATACTTTTGGCATTTTTGAGCAATGCTCTTTAAAGATCTGTATTGACTTTTAGGAAAGTCGTGGTGTTGATTCTCTTCTTCAGGTATGATACTGGTATAACAAAGGCTATTTAAACACGTCTTAGCATAGAAAAGGGCCAGACCAGAGGTAGATTCAAAATGTAATAGAGGATTGTTTTGATTCCATGGATTTCTGAAAGTGAACTAGGAGTGAGATGCAAAATGATTGAGGACTGAAGATACCGAACATAGGGAGAACAGCTTTGTTTTCATCAAAGCCTAAAGGATACTATCTGTACACTGAATCAAATATGACATTTGTTTCCTCATGTGTATTTGTGAATGTTTAGGTGTCTGTTTTAATTCTGCTTGTATTTAAAAAAGACAGTGTATTTTATCAGAAGGGTTCTCCACCATCCCCTTTTGTTAATATGCCAATTAATTTGCATATATTCTCGGGGCTTGAGCATTTTTTGCTTTCTTTGCCGTACTGAAATGTCCCACCACAAACTGAAGCGTTTAGACTCACACGCAATAACGCAAATCTCATATTTGGTTGTTAATAAATCAAAGCCTTGCGAGTATGATCAGTCAATTATTTTAGATTCGCAAAGCATGCTGCATTGATGGGTCACTAGAGCTTTGCCCTCATACACACAGCCCCCTTGAAAAAAGCTACATCTAGCTTAGGTCTTCCCAAAGCACCTCGAATATTCCATATTCAAACGCCAATTTTATTTGAAGCCTGTTTTGTGTGATTATCTTACCTGATAGACAGGTCCTCAGGCCACAGCAAATGCGCTTAGTCGAGACTAATTAGCAGTGCTCGCGCCAGCATCCAAACCCCGAATACATAATATAGCAGAAAACTCGATCACAGCAAGTCTCTGTAATTTGCATGTTGCAGAAGACCCAGTTTTTTCCGTGATCAACGAGGCTAAACATCCCAACTGAATCCGCCAGTCACCACGGCCAGTGCGCGAACCCAGTTTGTTAAGCACGCGCACCATTATTAGTACCGAAGCAAATTCGCTTACAACAAAAAGGCATGTCGATTTTCACCCACTTGAAACATTTGTCCGTCAAAGACTTTGACCGCACGGGGAAAATCCTGCACTCCCCTATTCTATGCGTGTCGGTGAATGCCGTCGGGTCCCGCGTAATTAACACCAGGCTTGACCGGTCCATTCGGATTTGGAAGTTTTCTTCCATGGCTCTCACAGATCCGGTAATAATCGACAATGCCCACTCAAATCCTGTGCAAAGCATTGCATGGCTTCCGACTACAGAGACTACTTTTGCGTCTGCTGGCGGCGATCTGGTAGTGAAAATCTGGCGAGGCAATGGGTCTTTAGAGAGAGACGTTTCTGTAGGCGGCCCTGGGTTGGGTCTCAAATTTACCATCGTGCTGTTCCTGCCGGACGGGACTTTAATGCTTTCTGCGACAACAAATGGCCTAATTTACGTGTACGACGTCTTGGACAACTATTCAGAAATTACGCACATCAGCATCACAACTCACAGTGGCGACATTGTCAATATTCAGTGGACCAACCGCGGCCATGCGTGTTTTTTTGTGGGGCTTTCGACAGGACCCATCCTTATTTATACATACGACCAGGGCCGTCTTTCTAAGCTTCATTCTCTTGTGGGATGTCGTTCAGTCACGTGTATCCTAGTAGATCCACAGGGCAGATACATAGCGGCAGGCTCTAAAGAGGGAGTGGTAACTTTTTGGAGCACAGCAGATATGGTTCATTCCCGAGCATTGACCAGCATTGACCAAGAAATCTCTTCTCTTTCTGCCAACAAGGACGGAACCTTTATATTTGTGGGATATGGGGCCGGCAGCAACTGCCGTATTTTCGACACCGATTCTTTAACCGAATGCTGTGAGATCCCAACCTCCGCGGCGGGCGCAGAATCCAAGCTGGCAGTGGCGTGGCTTGCTTCCAGAAATGTACTTTTGTACTCTCAAGATCTGGGCCGAGCTTTGGGATATGCAAGAAAAGAAGATAGAATCGAAGACGACCCACAAAGAAAAATTTCTCATGGTTATCTGAAGTATGGGCCAAGGTTGGCTTTGCGGAATTGAATAGAAGAAGCATAATTTTGTTGTGGTAGGCTTTCCCCGGCACAACATCTTTTGGTTCACATCTTGACCTGTGTTGCTTACAAAATGATTGTAAGGATCAATGGGGTTTTCCTGTCATACGAGAAAAGTCTTCATTCCATGACTATAGGACAGTGTCCACTTTGTGGGTAGTCATTTGTAATGCTCATTTTTTAAGTTGAGCAAAAAGAACTAATACCCTGCTATAACTTCAGAATTGATCAAAGATCTGGGTATTTTTTCATGGCTTGGGTGTCTCACTACGAAGAAGCCTCGTTTTGGTATACTCACAGATTCAATCTGGCGTGGGAAGTATACGAAAATGTATGGATTTACCGCCTGTCTACTATTTTGTCAGCATAGCTTACCAAGGATTTATAAGAGTTCTACTCAACAAAACTTCTGAATAGTACGTCTTACCTGTTCAAGTCACTCACAAAGCTGAAACGCAAAGAACGACTGTGTTGGAATCATGTATAATCATTGAACAGCTTAATATAGTCTTCGCGATTATTAAGGAATGAAAATGCAAAATGGAAATATTTCTCCTTAATATTCAGAGTGATTTGGTTGCGAGGTCTATGCTGACTCGTGTTTACTGCTTTTTGATCAAACAAAAAAATACGCATTGGATCTTCTCCAAAGCATTTCGCAGTGTGGTACCGAAAGCTCTCGGTCCATTCAAGGTTTTGAATTCACTTTGTTGATATTGAATGACGAACATCCTAGCAAATTGTTTCTATCTTTCGACTTTTCTACATAAACCAATAAAAACAGGAGACAGAGTGGCATTATTACTCTTCGGATATCGGAGTAATTTTTAACAAAGAAAAAGGCAGCTTCCACACTCCGGATTTTGAGAACACATCCTGGCCAGCCGAGAAGAGCTTATTGTGAGAAAATGGTGGAATAAACATGTTTTCGAAATATTCTAGCTCTTCAAAAGGAAGTGATTCAGGAGTCTGGGTGCAATACTGATCCAAAACTAGGCCACACGTTGTGTTTCGTTAACATAGCTCCAATCTGTGGATAGTTAAAGATTTCAGGCTTTTGCAAAACCTCCTGATTACGTATTCCGCTAGCCGAGCATATAAATAGAAATGCAAAAGGGAGACAAAACAGGATATAAGACCGCGATATGCGTGTGTGCATTGTTTTCCCGCAAAGTCAAGACATCGATTAAAGTGAGTTGTTTGAACTTTGCAGTTATTTCCCATTCAGGCTCCAATTAGGCCGCTTGTAAAACTTTGAGCTTTACTAAAAAAAGCAGATTTCAAAACAGCTAGGCGAGAATTTTAAGGCTTATAAAGTTCTTTTCAAGCCGTTCAACAATTTGTAGAGCCACTGATTAGATGCTTTGATCGACCTAATTATAGAATTTGCGATTTACATGTTTTGACTGCATATCAGTGAAAACTCCGAGTAAGCTATGGTATGAGTGCTGAAAAACAATTACTGGAACGCAAGAAATTGTTCTGTCTGGCGTAAAAGAATCATTGTCAAACTTTGTAATATGTATGAAATATGCGTGTGCACAATTGGAAATCTAGTTCATGAATCAACGAAATCCAAGGGTGGCTGCTGAAATCATTGATTTAATATTGAGGGTAAGAATGTAGAATTAATTGCAAGGGATTACCACTCTAAACAGTCTAAGAGTCATTGTGGCCACTTACAAGCGAATTAAATCTCTTGGGCTTAGGACTTAGGATAAATCACCTAGGAAACAATTCTGGAGCAAGTTCTAAAAATTGCCAAGACTTAGACGCTGTTGCCGGCTATAATGGTCATTTTTTGCTGCAGATTTGAGTACATTCTATGCCATCCAGCCTCTTTTAGCTCTCAGGTAAGCTTCACATAATTCCACTTCTAAGAGATATGATGTGAGCCACATAAGGCTGTTACGAATAGCCCTCGAGACTCAAATCAGGAAGAAAATAAAGAGGATGACTATATCCACCAGAAATAATACGATGTGCTAAGAACAAAACACAAAAAATAGAAAACAAGAAAAATATCTAAATTCCCGTCAAAACGAATCAGATCTTTCCGGATGCAAAATGTCACACAAAGTCTGCGTCAAGACGAGACAAATCTCGTCAAAAACCACTCGTGTAAGTGTGTGATCCTTGTTAGTGTCTGGCCTTTCGGTCTTGAGTTCTCAGGGTATCTATGTCTTTTAACAAGCTTACGAAATTTATATACGAAGGTGAATTTCTGTTGCTTAAAAAAGAGGAAGACAACGCCTTCGTGTATACCGAAGAAAGTTGTTCGCTAAACGAAAGAGTTTGAGCCAAGAAATTTGAGCCAGTGAGAAAGTTCTGGCCATACGTATTATCGTTCTGCACCCACAGATTGCTTCCTCTCGTCTATTGAGAAGACCACGTAGGAAATCCTCGGAGTATATAAACATCTCTTCGAGTCTGCCATTAGACTCGCTAAAAGATTATTTAAACCAAATCAGAATGAAGTCTCAAGATCTCATCGTTTTAGCTGCATCAGTTGTTTCCATTTCAGGAATGTTTACTCCCGGAAAAGGAAACCCCGCACTGGGAAGTCTCGAGATTCCGGAAGAGAAACCATTTCCCAAAGAATCATTACATCCCGATTTAGAAGAAGTCCCCCCCCCCATCAAAAGACCCGATTCACCACCTAGAAATCCTTTTGGTCAGCATGACAGCAAACCAAATGGTGAACTCTTCCAGGATTGGTCGCAAGGACCGTCAAAACCCGAAACTCAGGAACACGAATACCAGGACATCCGATATGGAGGATACGGAAATCCCCCTAAAAGCTAAATTTCACAGAGTCCAGCCTTAGTGCATTGCCTGCACCTTGCGAAGCTTCGTTTTTCTTCGAAAGTTGAAGTATCACGCTGAGGCAAGGAGAGAGAACTGGTCACTCTAAGGTTAGTTGTGAGAGGACCTACATATTTGAATCATTTTGTTGGCATCATAAAATTAACCGTCCCTTGTTGTAAGTCGACGAGTAAAAAAGATGCAAAGTATATAAATCATCAAATAAAAGTTCAGTCAAAATTCTTCGAGATACCTCTGTTTTGTTTCAAAATTGCCTTGGCCACAGACCGTTTATGGCCCAGTTGGATACTTTTTCGTATTCATCAAGGTTTTCGGCACAAAAAACTTAAATACAGCATCTAAAGCTTAGAATTATCATTGGAATCAACTGTGTAATTATCAGTCAATTTACTAAAGCTTGTGATCAGCATGCATCTTGAGATCGCGAACCATTCAATCCGGATTTCAATCTAGGTCGGCAAGTCTACAATTGTGCTAGGTCAACTGAAAGGGCCGCTTCGAAAAAAAGAAGAAGCGTGATGTAAAATCGTAACTGGTAGCTGTATCACACCTTGGCGAGTCAGGATGTAATTTTAATGATTAGTGCGGGTTACAGGAATTCGCCTGTTTCATTGGAAGAACTAGGAGCAAGTCACCTTCATCATCCGAGGTAAAACAATCGTGATTATCATCTTGGTTTATACTTGTTTGAGTCATTGATCTGCAGGTGGAGTTAACCGGCGATTCAGAGCAAGGAGCGTAAATACATGAGCCCAAGATAACTTTATAGGACGTTCTCATGGTCTGCTTTAGGTCCACGATGAATGCGCAGAATAGGTGAGGTGCAGGAGTTGCTTCTATGAGCCAAAGCCGTCACGTGATGGTGGATTCATCCAGCGTTTTTCGAATAATTACACACGAGAAAACCCGTTGAAGAAAAAATCTTAGCTAAGCAAGCCTGTAATTTGAGTCACCTTTTTGAGCAGTCTCTGGGAGTCTCGTCGTGCGTTGAGAGGGTGTGACACCACAATACAACTTTCTACCATTCAGTCCAAAGCAAGCTTGATAATTTGGAATATATTAGAAAATGAAGATATCGAAGCGGAATCAAAAAAGCTGAAAGAGCAAGCAAGGCAGCTGACTACTCATACCATATTTAATATCAACACACGCACGTCTCCCGGCAAAATACCAGATTAATACAGCAGCCATCACAACCTCGACTCTCAAAGGAAACCTGACCAAATGTCGAAACCGCTGATGAATCATCACCGTGATTAGTACATCCAAAAAGAGAGACAGACTTGGACAGAATGCAAAGGGAAAGAGATGACAAATATAACCAACCAACCAATCAACCAACAAACCACGAAAAAAAGAGCTAAACATCAGAACATCCTGTCTGCCGGCCAAAACGCCTTCAATTAATATTTCGTCTATTTCACGGCTCTAGGGGCTTTTGTGGTTTACCGACTATCTCCTTTTTCACCAGGAGTTTTGTTGCCGCCCACCCCCTTCCTTTTTTGCAGCCAGACCCATAGCCGCGAACGCCCCAAATCCATGGCCCGCGCGGTGGGGCCATCCTGTGTCTACGGCCTGGCCCTCGTTTTCGCGTTTTTCGCTTAGAGCCACCTCGGCTCCAACACGCCGCGCCTCGAACACACGCAACACAACTTTCTGGACCCACAAGTCTCAGACCATCCCCCCCGGAAAAGGACTCATCAGCGCAACGCCTCGCACGCAACTCAGAATTGCACGCAACAGCCGCCAGACACCTTTTTTCTTAGTTTCCATACGACATTGTGC